AAACTTTCAGTTACATTCTCCATTCCCTCCAACCAGCATTCAGTGTTCTTCAGCCCTGAACTTGCTCAAGACATCTGATTAAAAAAAAAAAAAAAAGACTCAGGAGTACACCAAATCTTGTCATTTTTTAAATTTGAACTCCTAAATGCTAACACCTCTCCCATATTAGATAATGTCATACATTATCTCTGAAAAGAGATAGAAAATTACTGTGTTTCAAATTAAATTGGTCAATACCAATTATCTGACATGCTATCTAAATGCTAGTTGAATCTAGCATTCCATATAATGATCCCAATACAAAACCTAATAACTTCTGAATGTAGATTTAAAAAAACAACTAAATGTGGGGACTGTGAGCTAAATGGCAGGTAGAGAAATACAGAAAACTTGGCTTTATCTCTTTTGCCTTGGTATTTTATTAGGAACTGACCAAAGTATTTTGAAGATAATTAATAGTGTGTGTTATGCCTATACTGAACAATACCATGACTTAGCACTAAGGAAACCACACTAGGCAGAATAAGGAGGATAACTGCAACAATAAATGATTCCCTTTTTGTGAAACAGTGTGCTAGTTTGGTGCCAGCACACATCTCTGCATTGTGGAATACTACCCTGTGGCCATGTATGTACGCTCATTTTAGGATTTTGAAATGAAGACATCTTTTGATCACTTCAGCTATAGTAGAAAAAAATTATTTTCACTGTATAAGTAAAGTGTTAATCTGATATACACAATTATATCTGAATGTATGCAGGCTTCATTGTGGTGGCCAAGAGCAAACCAGATATAAAATCTATTTACCAAGAGAGAAAAGAGATTTATTTTTTTTCCTTATAACCAGCACCCACGTAATTGCTGGGTAAAATGGCTATATTTAATGAAACTATGCATGGAGCGTACACATGGAATTCCATTACCATATTCCAGAAACCTTTAATGAAGTTTCACTATTTCTTTCATCAGATTAATGGCCTGAACTTATAGCTCTTATTTAGAGAGTAATTCCATTGCAGCGTGAGAGCATCAGTCATTAAACAGTGCTGGTTTGTACTTTAGATCATGAATTACTTGCTTCACACCCTCTCTTCTTGTACCCTAGAAAGATGCATTGGAGGATGTATCATAGGAATACTGCCTCTCATGGAATTACTTATGGGATCAGCAGAACTGCAAGGAGATATCAAAAACATGAGCTACTTGTCCACTCATGTTTTATTGCCTCACATCACATCTCAAAAGCAGTGTAAGAAGAAAAAGCAAATTAAACAGATCATATTAAAAGTGATATTTAAATTGGGTCTCATCCATTCATAGAACTTTCTAAAGATTTAGAAACTCCCAGGAGTTTGATCCAGCCTTTGCCAACTATGTTTTTAAGGAAAACTGGCTACTGTCACCAATGGCAAGTAAGAGTTACACTGCCTTCCTGCCCCCTTCAAACACAAACTTAAAAACAACCCCATACACCTCCACTCTCAGTTTAGTGGGGGTTTGTTAATTAATTTAGGAATTACTTCTTAAGGGGAAACAGGCTGTTCAGGTATGTTTGTTTAGCTATTAATTTGAAATTAATTTCCTTACATAGGTACTTTCTTTGTATCTTTCCTACATAATGGCCTCTTCTCTTTTTCTTCAAAATTGAGATCAGGGCTATACAAGTCAGACCTGATTCCCATGAAGATAGAGCTGTGAAATACCCCTGACAGCAAAGACCAGGACAAGAGCATAGACTCACATCCTATATTACTTTGCTAAGCTAAATATAGATTACTGGACAAATTTCAATCTGTTTAGAAACCGTAATGGAAATAAAACTTTCATTTTTATGTATACTGGGCATAGCAATGATACATGGAAGTTCACTATCAGAAGAAGTGGTTAGGTCCTGTTATATGACTTGAGCAGACTTAAAAAACAAAAAGGGAGATTCCCTGATTTTTCTGAAAGTTCAAGTGACCTACATTTAGCTCTGACAGCTCAAGCAGTTTATAATCCACTACATGGGACTCTGAACTAAACAGTTACAACCTAACAGAAGCACTCTGAGTTTTCCCTGTTTAACAGAAATCCCATGCCAACCTGTGGTTGTAGTTTTGACAGCCTGCATGTACCACCATCAGCTGAGAAGTAAATAATAATCCTCACCTTTATGTAAACTTTAAGAGCTTCCCACACTTCAGCTTCTGTGGGATAAAAAAGCATTAATGTCAGAGAATAATTGGATTCTAACCCTTGACAGTTCTCAGAATGCTGGACAGAACATAAGGGAGATCCTAAGCCTCCATCCAGCAGTTCCTTCACTGGGATAAATAGTCTTTCATCTTGTTAACCTTATTTCATAGTGATCTAGTTACATAAACTTTGCCACAATTGCATACATGTCATCTGTACACCATAAAGATTCAACAGGTGAACAGAATGAATGAAACCGAAGATCTCACGCTGTCTGTTTTGAGTTTATGAGTCTGAAATACTACTTTGGGTCAGACCAATATAATGTAAGTAATTTTCTAAAATGTCTGTTTTCGATTACTATTTAGAATAGAGAAGGAACCATGGGTGATAATTTGATTTCACAAATCTGGAACCATTGCTTACACCAACACAACTACCACAGGTTTGCATTGGGCCCATGTTTTCACGAGAAGAATGACCAAGTCATTTCTTACAGCAATGGAGCATAAAGTATTTAGGAACTTTGATTAGTTAATCAAATCAACATTTCTACCTGATTTAATGGGAGCATATTCACACAAAACATTATTTATAGCAAAATGATTCAACAAGCCACACGCCCTATTAACTCCACAAACAGCATTAGACAGACATCTACTTAAATCAAATCTGGTAGCTACAAATGCACCGCTATAAATAACTTCCTATCTCCTCCCTACTTGTTACTCGGAGAAGGAACAGCCACAAACTTCTGTGTTGTTTTTCCTGCTAGTATGACTATATTGGTCAACCAGGCTGAGGTTGCATCAATGCTCAGAGTTTCTTTTTATCATCAATGGCCTTTTGCTGATCCGTTCATATTTGGATCTGTGAATCCAAAAAAATGAAGAGCAGTATCAGTCCCAGTGATCAGAGGAAAAGGGTCAACAACTAGTCCTTATTGCACAGTTGGTAAGATTTATCAGTAAACGTTGGTTTGCCAATTCCAAAATGTACTGTTTGAGACATCTCAGATGTGAGACTTTTCTACCTACTTTTATTCCTGCCTACATTCCAGGCTGATTGCCCTTCAGATCAGTTTTATGACTTCTGGACCAAGACCACATTTAGAAAAACAGATTTATTTTGCTACTATAAAGAAAAGGGATCAGAGATGAGATACAAAAAGATGGGTGATGTGCCCAGTGTAAGAATTCAGCAAAATGGATGTTTTAAGTGACATTTTGAATAAGGCAATGTTGCATTTATCAGCGTCAGAAGAGAGGGATTTGCAGAATTGAGATGACAAAAGTCTGAATAAATTCTGTTTAAAGCTAGACCATAGCTTGTAAATTTTATTCAAAAGCACATGCCAAGATCCAGATACAGTGGAAGGGTTGACCTAGGAAGAAAAGCAAACTGAATGTGAGACCCAGGGTTTGGGCTAGGGATAACAGTAATACCATTCACAGTGACTAAGAAAGGAAAAGGGAGAGAGAAAAATGGAAATAAGAGGGCTTTTTTTTGGCCATGTTGAACTTCAGTGACTAGTTGCATGAAGTTAGGCAAAGAGAGACAATCCAGGGTTTTCATCTGAACATGAAGAGAGAAATCTATAGTGGAGACATCTGTGAGGCACTGGTTTACAGATTGCAGCTGAAACTGCATTTGCAAATCACATTGCTCAGGGACAAATTATATGGGGAAACAGTAAACAAATGCAGCTTTTTGGAATGCTTATACAAAGCTGGAGGGAAAAAGTGATGGATTCTTCAACTATTCCCCAGGAGAGCACTTACAGAGGGCAAGAATCAAAAGTGGAGACAGTCTTACAGACCAAGGAAGGAGAAGACATAAAGAACATGTCTGAGTGTCATCTGATAAATCAAATAGTATAAGGGTCTAGGTTAATGATGATTTCAACTTCTGGTGGTAAAATAATCTTGACTTGGGTCCACTATAGACATGGACAGCAATAGAGATGGCTGCCTGATATGAATATTTCCTCATAGCTTTTGTCCTTTTGTATAATACCATATTTTCTGTTGTGTCATCCAATTTTTGAGGGTCTTCTTTAAAAATAAAATGCTGACTGCTCTATGTGAATACTGACATTACCATAAAAGTGGATATTTACCATTGCGATACATAACTTACATTTTGATAATTTCTTCTGTGTTTTGGGGTTTGTTTTATTTTGTTTGTTTGTTTGTTTGTTTGTTTTAAATCATTGGAAGTAAATGAATGAATACAGAATTTTTGGAGGCAGATGGTCTTCTATTTATCTCAAACCAGAAGAAAGTTGTTTTGAAGATGGAAGGAATAAAATAGAATGCCAAGAGAAACAGCTGGGAAGAATGGAGGAATAATTAATGTGAAGAGCTTATTGAATAAATCCAATAGAACCTTCTTTTGTTTTTCTAAGTTTTTTTTTCTTTACTTTCTTATGCCCAGCTCACAGTTGTCCTGCAGCATCCCACGAGACCCCTTTGCCCTGCTCTGAGCACAGCTGCACCCTGTAATAATTCACCAGAATTTTTCAGATTGAGCAATATTAAAAAAGTAATTTCCCTTCTTTCAGTTGTTTTTTTCTACCAAACAGACCCATCAAAATCTTATCCACATTTTTTATTGAGTCTGAAGGATTTTGCTGCTCCTAAAAGACACATTCATGCCCTTAGACCATCAATCTCTGTTTTGGTGTACTGCTTCTCTCTGGATTGGCAGCAGGCTGAAAGTGACATCAGTCTACAGGGCATTAGGTCTAATGCTCCCCTGTGCATCAGGTAATCCAATTGAGTTCTTATATGTTGACAAAACCAGAGATTTATATTGAGCCACCTCCTAAAAGCTGATTCTCATTACCTGGTGGGCGAACTACTAAAAAGAAAAAAAAAAAAAAAGAAGAGGAAGAAGTGTAAACAGCTTCAGCAGACATGACGTTGCCCTCAACTTCAAACCAGGAGCTGCTAGGCTTGGCTTGCAAGCAAGAGCAGGAACCTTGCCGTTTACTTGCTTAGCCATTTGCCAGACCACACAGTGCTTAGTTACGAGCTATAAACAAAGCAGTAGAAAGAGAGAAAGGAAGAGAGAGAGAAGAGGAGAAGACAGAAGGAAAGAAAGAAAGAGAAAGAGAAGGAAAACTATAAACAGAAGTCCAAGCAAGTCCTGAATATATTTAACATGACATTTACAACTATGGCGATCTAAACAATCAATATTGGGCAAAAATACAGAAGATTTCAGACTGTCCTGGATGTAGCATCTGTCCAACTTATACAGGTAGGTTCTTGTGTATTTCTTTTAATCTCATTATCAATTAAATAAGTATTAAAGCATTCATCTTCTTGGCTTTGTACAGCAGTATCTAGTATTTACCCTGGGTTTTTTGTTTGTTTTTGTTTTTGTTTTTGTTTTTGTTTTTTTAATTAAAGCTAGTTTAATTTCTCTCAGGTCATTAGCTAATTCTTACTAGAAGGCTGCTTGCTTGTATGAAAAATGATAATATAGAGTTGCTCAGACTGTGGTCCAGAATGTCAGTGGTCTGTCCCTCTTGCCACCTTCTGGAGTTAGAAACATTCACCTATGACAGAATTTCACTGATAAAAATTCAGAGTACCTCAGCCTGTTTTTATTTTTCACTGAGGGCCAAATTATAGAAGGCACAAAATCGTTACTGCTGTTATGACAGGGATACGTATATATCCCTGGGATATACTGCAGGCATTTGTATAACACAGTTCACATGATTCTGGAAAACATGTTTAAGTAAGTTATTCATTCATGGATTTATAATGAGTACTATTATCTAGGAAACAGCACTGAACTCCAAACACCAGAAAGACATGTCTCTAGGGATGACAACCTGGGACTAAAGACTCTCAATTAAGAAACTATTTTCCTAATTTCTTCTCTACTGCTCTCTCATTTTCAGTCAAGTCCCTGTGTTACACTCTGCAGTTTCTAAAATAAAACCAGCCTTATTTTATGGAAGTTTTGATATATGCTTCATAAACATTACTGATTTAGAAATTTTTAGATGGAAATTCCAGAAGAATACAAATGATGGTAATTTACTATTTACATCTAAAGTGGATCACAAATGATAGAAAACCACATCATCTTCAGTGTTGTGGTAAAAGAAGGCACTGACTCTTTCTCTGGTGATAGAGCCAGCCAGCATCAGAATCAAGATCAGAAGCTTTGGATATCTGTCTACTGCAAACAAGAGTATAACTGCAACACTTTCAGGAGTCAAAAACCAGATTTAGAGTACCTGTTTAACATATTAACAATAGGCAAACCACAACAGCATTGACTACTTCAGGATTAGCTGCTTGAGAAGCTATGGAGAGACTTCGGGAAGCCTGGACAGTATAGGCCAAAATCTTAGTTCTTCATCTTTAATTTGGTACTTAGTATTTCTTTGGCACCTGAAGAAGCTACTGTAAATACTGCTCAGGTTCTTTTACATGTGTTGTGGTGCTACCTTTTAACCTCAGCATCAGCACATCTTTTGACTCTTCATTCCCATTTCTTGTCTGGAACAAGGCTGACTCATTGAAGAGAATTACATAATGCCTAAAAAAGGACATAAGCCAATAAACATAAAAGAGAAATACTACTATGGTGCTTGAGTTCTACTACTCTACTATTTCTGGCACTGCATCAGCAGACAGCATGTCTTTGAAGCTTCAATCTTAGAAGCACCAGAATGTAGATTATGTATTAGATGTATTAGATTCAGTGTTAGGCCACCAGCCTGTAGAATGAGCTTTTAATAAAAGGTGCATGAAAAAAATAAAAGAATGGCAGTAGCTCTCTATCACAGATAAATATTCTACAGGGTCCTTGGGGTTTGGCATCAGCCACGTGGAGATGATAGGCCATATAAGCTTAGCAAGAACAAACATAGCAACACTTTCTTTTGAAAGCAGTTATCCAGTGAGATGTGTTTATACATTTCTGGTGAAATAATATCTATTTTCAAAATGGCTGCAGTGTAATATTCTCCTCTGAAATTTATAGGTAGGTTCCCTTTGACATAAAGGGGAAATTGGAATTTGTCCCTGTAAGTATGATTCTGTAGGATGCTGAGTTTTACATTTTCTTTTGGAAACAATAACATTTTGTGTCTTTGAGGAACAATGTCCATAGATCTTGTAATAAAGCCATGTCTTTTAACACCCTTATGACTTAGCTCATGAAATTCACTACATGCACATAACCATGTTGTTCAGGAATCAGATTTCAACTCTCTCTTTCAAAGATTAAAGTTTTTAAAGACTGGCCCAACCCATAAGTTTATGATTTCCTAGCAATGACATTTGGCTCTCTTCAGCAATTAAATTTTATCTCCCTTCAGTGCTGAATACTTTGCAATAGTCTGGTTAATTCTCCTGTTGATTAAAGTGCATGTTTCTAGAAAGGAAATAAAATAATTTACATCAGAGAGTGAAAATATATCATATAATGAAGGTCATATCATTACAGCTATAATTTCTGTGCCATAATCTTTCTAAGCAAAAAGGCAACTCCCTTATTTACTTGTCAGTGTTTACAGATTTGTCTCTGCCTGTCTACTTTATTTGAACAGAATTTTCTAACATAATTTTAAATGTTTATTCAAGTTATAAACCCATACATTTCCACTCCATATTTCAGAGAGTTGAATTTCAAACTTGATGAAATTCATATCTCTGGTATGAGGAATAGTGTATTCTCTCCAAAATTATAATAACAAGTGTACAATGAGTTAGAATATAAAAACTGTATACAGAATATATGTGAATAAATCATGTTATGATTTAAATTAATTTTAAACTAGTTCTTTCAAAAAGTGTGGTCTTTTCAGTCTCTTACAACTTTTCATGTACATAAAATTTATTAGTATTTTATGGACAAGCAGGATTGAAATATAGTAGGTTGTACTTAAGAAAAGTAATTAGTAATTATCCCTCTTTTTATCCAGTTATTATGCTTATATTTCCAGGTAAAAAAAACATGTTGTCATGAATGATAGCATGTATCAAGAACTGACTTTAAATATAACAAAGGCTTACTTTACTGGCCCTAAGATGCATTATATAAACAAGCAGCTCAAGAGCTTAACTGAGACACTTAAAAAAGATTCAGTGAGGGTATCTAATCTCAGATTCTTTCCTTTTTTGATTTTCTAAAATATTTCTCTAAAATGATTAGGATATTACATTACATTTATTTTCAATACAGTTTTTTCTGTGTTTCCTCTAAGATTATCAGTAACAGTCATTAATTTGGTGATAGCAACAACATTCCTTTAATTCAATTTTAACTACATTTTAATATATTTTGAGAATTTACTCTTTGAGAATTTACTTGGGTTTGCAATTTTAAATGTTACAGATAAATAGTGCCTATAAAAGCAATATATTTAGTTGTCATTTCTCAGTAAAAGATTTCTATACTAGATGAAGTACTGCTCTTCAAAAACAAAATATAACCTGAAGTATTAAACCAGAACTGTCATCAGCACAATAGATGCAGTCAGACCCTATCCTAAGCTCACAATTACAGACTGAAGTGATCAGCTTCTTTCCTCTGTATCCAACTGCATGTTACAGTTTTGTGGATTGGTATGAATCAGATGCAAAATAAAACAGGATTAGGGTTCTCACTGACAGACAGTTTGGTCCCAGCTTTCAGTGCTTCTTTAGTATCTCCTAACTACCTTGTCCTAGTTATTTTGGAGATCAACAGTTCTCAAAATCTCCATACAGTTTTCCAAATTACAGGGTTTGATTTTTTCTTTTTAAAGAAGCAAACAACATGCATCCTTGAGCAACAAAAGATTGTGATCCTCATGTGAAAATTGTTTATTCAATAATATTTAAGTGTAGACACTCTTGAATGTAGTAGAATTATTCCACTGATCCCAAACTGTCTGTGGAGACTCAGAATCAGTTTAATATGTACATACTATGCAATGATCTTGTGCCTCTATAAAAAGAAAGCCCTATCTTCCCTATTCAATTCAGAAATTATTCTGTACATCAAACATTTAATCTGTATGCATACTAGGATAATTTTCAATTTCAAAAATGTCTCTACATTCACATTTATAACTAGATAATATTTTAGTGCATAAAGGAGATCAGTTAAGTGTCTTTGTGGAGATATTTCCTACAGCATGCAAAAAGGTGATTCTGGTCCTGGTTCAGGTTCGAGCCAAATGCTGTCACTGCCACCACGACTCAAGGAAGTAAGAGGCAGTTAGATTGATGCTCGCTGCATCCATTCCTTCTCCACCTGTGACTACAGAAAGTTCTGCTTTCATCATGTCACATGAATGAACTGCTTGGCTCGGGACAGACTGTTCATAAATTCTATACATTTACTTTGGAATTATCACTGATGACCAAAACTATACCTCAATCCAAATGTTAATATTGGTCCTAATTTTAATCCCCCTAAATTTGTATTCCAAGTTTGATTTATTGCACAGCAAGTCCTGAGATAGGCTGCAAAAACTTTTCTTAGGGTATTTGGAATACTTAACATTAAAAAAAGCATTTGTCTTTCCCTGTCATGTATTAACTGTGTTTTAATTTACTTCAGGTCTTCATTGAATTTTCAGTGCCTTTTGATGAAATTCCTGAACTCTTGTGTCATAAAGATGTAAAGATACAAATTCATCACTAGGCTACTCTTAAACATAAGGCACTTCAAAGCAACATCTTACTGTAAATTATTAATCTTTGAGGGGTGGAACCACAAAGGAAAACCAAGAGATAGGATACACAGGTTGATTTTATCTAGGTTGAAGCCCTCACCCGAGTGTGTTCAGAAATTATATTACTTTGTAAGTTAATTAACCCATTGTCCACCACCTCATGTCAAGTGAAATGATGCTGACTAAAAATGCATTTTTTCTAGCTGCTTTTCATTCTAAAAGATCTTTAAGAATCAGCAAGTCTGTTTTGCTAATCTGTCTCCTTTTCAGCCCTTAAAATCAGTCTATTAGTCCTCCAACATCCTAGGAAAATGTCGCTTCAGGTTCCCATCTTTCCTGGCGTTTGATCAGCTTAGATTTGAAAGCAGATTGCTCAATATCTTGCAGAATAGCACCTGAGATCCCTTGGGTAAGTCCCTTTTTACAAAAAGGTTTTTTTTCCCCACTTCATCTTGCTGCCACTGATACAACAAATTTTACCTCTGGCTATACAGAAGTAGGATTGGGTCCCCTAGGTGTTGGTCCTTTATTTACAGGAGGTGCTTTTAGACTACCAGACAGCACTTGAGGCCTAAAGGAGACTACTAGACATAGCTAAGAAATTGGAGTACAGCAGCTGAAAGGGATGGAAGGCTAAGAAAAATACTGTATCTAGAGAAAGTTAGCTAAAGACCATCTTTTTATAGACTTGTGTGTAGTTTTATTGGTGTGTCCTTTGATGCAGCACTAGAAGAAACAATTCCTGGTCCTGAAGTTGCCCTTGAAAGTGACCAGTGGAGATTTAGATACTTCCACACAGTGGAGTGGTTAAATTATGCAAAATCAGTATTAGCCTGATGTCATGTGTCTTCATGTGCAGTGGGTTTACACCAGTTTACAGGTACTATTACGAGTAAACACCTTTTTCTGTATATAGTGGTGCAAATGGAAGAGGTTACACTCCAAGCCCCCTCTCACTTGCCTGTCAGTACAAGCCTACACTCATACTCTCTTAGTGAAGTTAGTGGCTGAGTTTAGCATCCTCTCAGATCTCGCAGAGGACCTACTTATGTGGCCTCTCTCTGGCTCACTCATGTCAAAATCATTTAGTCACCTCTAGTAGAGAGGCTGCGATGGGCATTTATGTCCAATAGGCAATACACCTTTGTCAGACACAACTGTTCACAAAATCTACATCTGTTTACACCCTTCAGCAATTTAAAAGCTGGTTAAGTTTCCAGCTACATATTTTGCAATATACAGATAAAGTAATGAAGCAGATATTTCAGGCTAATTTACATATTTGGATGGCACTACCTTCTTCCATAGAAGTCAGCAGAAGCTTTGTCTTTGTCCTCAGAGCACAAATTGGCACTGAAAGTTCTTTGCTACTTTTTCCAGGCATAAAAATATTAACCTCTATATCCTGGCCAAACTCCAAGGTAGGTGATTACATTCTGCTGCTCTAATTTTTCCCTGCAGGCTTAACTAGATCTAGCATCATTTCCTGATGTGTTGTGTTACTGCAAACAGTCAAGTCCCTTTTTGCAAAGTTATTGTTAACTTTTTCCTCCTTGCCTCCTAATTTGTCTGCTTTGCCTTATCAGTTGTAGCTTGTTTGAAAGTCAGAATTGTTATGTTCTGAATCAAAGCTTTTATTAAATTGAGGGACCATAAATATGTGCAGTTCTACAATGATAGCAATATCTTTATATCACTTTTCATCTCATATCATATACATGGCATAGCCTGGCTGTAAATGAAAATGAAATGTAGTTTTTTTTTCCCCAAGAACACAGTTATATTTTTGACAAATATCACATCATGCTGGTCTCGAAAACCAAAAGTCAAAAACACAGCCCAAAATCACAGGGCATTCTGGGCGAGTTTAAAAATCAGTTGACAATTTACTTGTAAAATAACACATCGCTTAACTCTACATTGCATTAAATCAATAATTTATTACACTTTAAAGAGATTATAAGAGATTATGATTTCTGTGGCCATACAATCTAATAATTTTTGGAAGAATTTTGCACATCATTGTTAACAATTAATTTAATTCATACTTAATATTGATCTGAGAAAAAAAAACTCTTAGAAAAAACACTCGTTATAGAAGTTAAGCATCTCTGGTGTAACTGCTGATTTCACTTTGGCACTATAAAGCTGTAATGCCTGCACTCTGGTTAGTTGCTTATTGAGTAACTTAAGCTAGTTAGAAATATCTGCACTGAAATCACTTGATATAAGGACTTCTACATAAAATAGAGGATGGCTCTATTTAGCTTCTTTCCTCAGCATGGTCTCAAATAAAACTGCACTAAATACAGTCTGCTGGATTACCCATATGGAGAAGCTACACAGATTCTATCTCTGAGGACATGAATTGATTGCTTAGTCCCAGTATCACAGGGTTAAGTGAAATGCTATCACAGTAATGCCTTAGATTAAGAAGATTTGTCTGTGTCTTCTAATTAAGGTTAGGTTCTTAGGAAACTTTACTATCCTTTGAAGTTACAGAGTCTAAAATTAGGACTCTGGTTCTGTTTAAAATGTTACTAGGTTGGTCCATAATCCTGTAGTGACTGCAGCAAGGGATCATTCATCCAATGTTGTGACTCCCTGTTTGGAAGCTAGTGAGCCGTGATGAGCCCCCATGAATCAAAGTCTGAGTAGTCTATTAATCAGCAACAAGTTGGTCCTGCAGAACATCGTAATGCTCTTGCAGTGACCCCGTGAAGACTGCATGAAAAATGGAAGCTGGCACAGAAATCAGCTGTAAAACACAGTAAATTCTGTTGCGGGCAGAGAGCAAATGGCAGCAGTAAGTGGGCTCTGTACAGAGGGTGAAGAAATGTTTAGGGGGAAGATCTGTTTTAGGCTGGAAGTGCAGTAATTTTACAGTGGCATTTATAATCCTATACATGATAATAGCATCCTAGGCTCAAGTGTCCTCACTTCGTGATCTACAGTCAATGTCAAAACCTCAAAGCAATAGATGGATCACTTCCAACTTTTCTCATTCTGCCCCTACTTACACAGTATACAATGACTTTATGGAGCTCACTGTTACAGGGTAGTAACAGCAAAAGCACAAATTAAGTTGAAAAATTTTTAGCAAATTTTAAGCTTGGATTCAGTTTTCCTTACAGATGTGTAGTCTTAGAGCTCTTCCCAGATTAGTAAATTACAGAAACGTAAAACTGTTGAAATGGAAAAATCAGACCCATTTATGAAGAAAAAACCTTCTTTGACAATATTTAGTATGATAAAACATTCAGAGTAAAAGAAGCCTTGATACTTCAAGTCACAAGTCAGTTTCTAGTTGGCTGGGATTAGGAAAATACTTTTCCAATAGGTAAGGCCTTAAATTATGATTTGCTACAGGATGCCTTTCTCCAAATGATCTGATGCTGCATTGCAGCCAAGACAAATCAGGGAGAGTGAGTGGACCAACATTCCTCTGCAGTACCCCAGGTCCTATGTACCTGTCAGATAGGATAGTGTGCTGTGAGCCACTAAATGGCTATTCATCAGCTCACATAGGGAGTCATCTTCTAATTTGGTTTAGTGAAACAAAGAAAGTTTATATATACATTGGTATGGATGAACTACAAGTTCTGAGTCTCAGATATCCAACCAAGAAAATCTCTCGTAAAGGAACTCAGTAAGAGTCTACAAGCTTTGACTGATCAGTCTCTGAGCAATGAATGAAACTCAGTTGCTCTGCTGGACTGTGTTTATAAACCTTTCATATTACAGTGCACCTCTATTGTTTTCCCATTCTTTTTCTTTTAGACTAACTCTGTCACGTTTTTACAGATAAGAGCATCCAATTAAGCAGCAAAGCCAATGCCCTACTATTCTGATAACCACTCATGAAGTCTGAACACCACATATGCATGAAGGATCACTTGAGTAAAAAAATATTTGCCCCACAGAATCTTGTGATTGGCTTCAAATTATGAGTAAGAGAGCTAAAAAAGATTACAGGAAGTCACTTAGCTCAGTCCCCTTTATTTACTTTTACTCAGATTAAAATAGGGATGAAAGATACCTACTTTTTCTGAACAAAGCAGCAGGGTGGTTCACAAACTATTTCTTATTGTGAGAGAAGGGTACAGTTCTAATCAGTATGGTTTGCTTTGAGCTATTCCTTAGTGTGTCCAAAATCTGGTTTCTATTGCAGCAAGCATGAGCAGTTCCTGTGTGACACTGACTGAGCTCCTGTGGGCAAAAGGAAGCCCTTTAGAGGAAGAAGAAATATGGGCACTCTTGTACCTGGCCACAGTGCAGCTTCTGGAGGACCTTCACAAAGGTGAAGTGAAAAGTATCTTACGGTTCTTACTGTTGGAAATCAATTCTTGAGTTATTTTAGCTCTTTAGTTTTGGGGTTTTGGTTTGGTTTGGGTTTTTTGAGAGAGAAAAAGCTCTAATGGCAATAATAGTGTATTACTAATAAAAATGAGAAATCTTTCAGTGTTGCTGGGATTACATGCAGACCGCTCTGCCTACATATGAGATCTTCACACAGGTGGTTTTTTTTTTTTTTTTTTCCAAATTACACATCATGTACTTACAATCACTAAGTACAACTATACATGGTAGAATTGGACAGAAGAGTACTTCCTAAAGACTGAATAACATAGCACACACAGAAAGTGCAGGGCCAGCTAGGATCACGTGCTTCATGTACTGATAAAGGAGGACAGGCAAATCCACATGGCTCCTCATTCAGCTAGTAAGAGACTTTTATCCTTGATGATAATAATGTGACTTGTCATAATGGCTAGGCAAATCATGATGAATGCTTGCCAAGCAGGCCAGCTGTACAAGAGAGCACAGCTGAGCAATCTGTCACATTTTGAGAACTGTTTATGACAATGCATATTCCTGTTGAGGGAAGACTGGATGTGTTCTTACCTCATGAGCATGTAGAATCGAAAAAAAAATACTGAAAACAAGTGATGTGTAACTTCTGCTATAGCTGGAGGGGTGAAATTTTATTATCAGCTAGTTTTTATTGGACTGAAACACTACAGCAGGTTGACTATACCATCAGTTCTCTATTATCTAGTATAATGAGGATAGAATGGCCCAGACAAGACAGGCAACAGGAGTGTGCAAAGGAGTGTAGCACAGAGATACCCACCTGGATAGATTCAGCTCACGTCCATCACATCTTATTGACTCAGTGCCAGACATTAAGCTCTCCTGATCTCTTATGTTAAAAAAAAAAAAAAAAAAAGAGATTTTTTAGATGTCTATTGAATTGAGATAATCAGCCTATATTCCCTGTGATGTACCAGATAAATTTAGGGTAATATGATTAGAAGATGAAGAATTAAAGAGGAAGTAGGGATGTAGACTCAAGCTAGTCTATAAGTCAAGCACAAGGCAGCTCAAACATGTCTTTAGAGAGCTCAAGTCCAGAAGTGATGCCAAGTTGGACTCCTCATTCTGCAGCTGAATTCCCAGTGCTCCAGTTTCTTGGAGGACAGAGAAGGTGAACTGCCGCTTAGTGTCATCCCAATTGAGAAAGGTATATCTCTGGCTCCACATCTCTTAATTACATCTATATCGCTTCTGGAATCAGTCTCTTCTCAGGGATAGTACTGCCATGTTTGTGCTGCATTGTGCTTGATGTAATAAATTGTGCTAGAGCTGGTGAAGGTCTGTACCATTTGCTTTAGCAATATTTCCAATGGGTTTGGGCACTGACTGGTTAGGCTGGCAATGCTCATTCATTGGCTGGCCAACATTACAGAATGCCAGGTAATCTTCATTGAGGATAAAGTACAAGCTGGCTATCTGATTCTAAAACAGATAAATTTCCCAGCATGTGCTAGTTGTATTTGCATACAATAATACAGAAAATAGGGAAGGAGCAAAAGAGAAGGCTAGCCGATGAATTTAAGACCTTTAATTTTCTAAAGAAGTAAATGTCACAGCTGTTGCAAATACCAGTGGTCCATAGGTCTTCCATCTCTGGGGCCTCTGGCTATACAAACCTCCTAGGTATATATGAGTTCCCAGTTTAACATTTTACCCATTTTTACCATCCATTTTCCTGATGTAAAGGTCAACATGCATAAGAACTAAGTAGTAATTTTTTAATATATCATTTTTAAATGCTAACATACCAAAGCATTTAGGGCATGTTTCTGAGCTCTTCTCCTATGGACATCTGAATGGTCTCTGTTCTCATGGACTGAAAAGAGTGGTTTAACAGACAACATTTTTTGTTTTGAATTACCTATATTTCCAGGAAACCTATAGCTAAATATTGCCATAGTTAATGCAGCTTTTCCTCTTTCTGAAGTAAACAGATTGATCTTAGATGCTTTTTAGCGTGTTTTTTAAATGAATATTTTAATTAAATCACTTGGATATCTTTGGGCAAATTCACTCAACATACGTATGCAAGTGTGGAGTGTTTGCAGAAGATTGTACATCCTCATGCTTCCACTCGTGCTTCAGGCCACTCGGACCGAGCTCAGTTGATCTCTGCAGTGATATTTTTTAAGAGTGCTCAGCTCTTTAAAAGAAGAATCCACTCCATTACTCAGAAATCTTCATATAGATTTTTTCAGGGAACAGAAGAGCAAGCTGTTCCCTAAGGGACAGGGAGCCCAGACCCAGGCACAGTTACAAGGGTGGCCGGGCAGAGGCTGTGCCAGCCAGGGCCCTATCCCACAGTACCCAAATAAGGCAAGAAGGGCAGGTCTGGGGTTGACAACTAGGAATCCAGACCACCACACAAGTCTGTGGTGGCAAGGCAGGTTCAAGGTCAAGCTGGGAAGCTGAGTCAGGATCAGGTCTGGTGGGGGCAACCAGGGTCAGAGAGCCCAGCAATTACCAGGCAAGTCCACAGTGATAAGGCAAGTCTGAGGACAGGCTGGGAGGTCAGTCTGTGGGTGAGGATTAATAAGGTCCAAAGTCTGGCAAGGCATGGCTGTGACTGAGCTGGAGACAGGTATTCCTACACCATACCTCAGGCAGGATCTCAAGGTGATGGGATGAGTTTAACTGGAGCCTGAGACTACGGGCAGAGGATGAGGGCAAGTCCCAAGTGAGGCTGGTCAGGGCCATTAAGGACTATTAGTATCCTTAGGATCTTGTCAGGTTTAGGAGTCTACATTTATCATTTGAAAACACTTTTGTTTGAAATATCCCCTCTCTTTTAGCAAAACTGACACGCAGACAGAAAGATTGAATGTGAATAATGATAAAATACGACTGTTCACATTACTGGTAGAATCTAGTCAAAGTTTTAGTTTGCATAGTTCTAATATTTTCATTTTGGTAAAAAAAATCCCAAAGTTCAAGTTAGTTGGAAATGAAAACCTTAGCAGATTATAAAACTGGGACTTGGGAAGATTGTTTCTACTGCTACCTCAGCTTCTGTTGACTGACACAGTGTAGTCATCAAAGCCTGGCTCTGCATCATTTTCTTCATCTGTACAATGGAAATAAAGTGATATTGACTCCTGACTGACTTTCTGGCAAAGTAACTTGTCTTTTCTAGACACAATACACTGAAAGAGAGGTTACTAAAATGCAGAGCTTGAATGACTATAAGCAGCACACAGAACAAAACAGTATCTTCACAGATAAGAAATTTGTACCATGTTCATGCAACTTAATGGAAGCTAACTTAAAAGGTCTTTTGCAAATGCCAACTTCAAAGTATTCATGCTTTACTTGAAGAAGTGTTCTAATCTTCTGATAATCTCTTGTGCTTTGCATAAAAAGATCCACTAAAAATGTCAAGATCTCCAGAATCTGCACATGGGATGTAATTCTGCCTTTCCTTAGGCTTCAGAAATCCATTGAAATCAATATATTGCTTATATGTGTGAAATGCTGTGAGAGAGAAATCAAGTCTTTAACCATCACTGAATTCCAGCTGACAAAATCAGTCAGGCATAAATGAACATGATTCCACTGACTTCTGGGTACATCTCCAGGAAACTAAAGTGATGGGTTTGGCTATGCAGGTGAGACACCAGCAATATGATTTTCTGAGCACAGTGAATTCAATACTAAGAACTCCATTATCTTCTTCAACACTTTTCAGATGCTGCCATCTGTGTGATTTGTCCAAGGTCAGTCCTACTGTCTCCTGAAGGAAATTTGTCCTTCCAAAACAATGCATCTCAGACAGAAGCTATCCCTTTCACTGCACCAGAATTGCTCCACAGACAAAGTAAAAACCAGCGCATCGGACTAACAAAGGTGAGGTATATTACAAAATAAATCTTGACAGTACCTCATGAAGACAAACTTGTGGCTTTTAATGCAGCATACCAGGTAGCTACTGTCAAACTCCATTTCTAATAACATTAAAAAAAATAGACTACAGTTAGAAAGATTTATGTGTATCTTACAGCTCACCATTAGATTAGCATGGATTTTTGAACATCAGTTCTCGAGGTCTGCAGAAATGTATTATTTGTATAGGTCCACAGAAAGGAAGAATATTTCTATGAACATGATGTTTGACCAGATACAGTAATTGTAATCCAAGAAGCAGCAGGACAGCAGTATCTAGACAATAAGAGAGTGGAAGCACTCCCAGGAAGTCACAAATATGTTCAGCTTTGTTAACAACTTACTTCTCCCTGCCAAATGAGTCTCTCTGGCAACACAGAAAGGTACAACACTCAGGTACCTAAAAGTTTTGCATACCACTAGGACCACATCAGTGCATACTTCCCTCAGGCAGAACACAGTAGTTCCAGAGTCCCACATAACTGACCACTTAGATGATTAGCAGAAACATGAAGCTTTGGAATAGATGGTCCTCACTCCAGTAATCCTCTTCCTGGACACAACTGCTAGTCAGTCCCACAGGTAGGGGAGAACTTTAATTACCAATGGGAGAGATTTAAAACTAAGAAAGGAGTTTAAATTCCTTTTCCTACTCATGGCATCATTGGATATAGGGCAGTCTGGCTCAGCCCCTCAGGTTGAACAATCCTCATTGCATGCTATCTGATCCATAAAGCAAAAGTCACGATTGTACTTTTATATATGTTTCATCTAGTCTAATTTTTAAAGAAATTATCTGTTTTGATTTTGCCATTTTGTGACCAAAGACACAAAAAGATGGTCTCTCTAGTATGAGGCTTTTCTGTATTTAATGTTGCCTATATAAAGGGTTTATTTTTCTGTTTTGACAGATGCTAGTGTATTCCTTAGGAATGACCCTCTACTGGTCAGCAGACTACCAGGTTCCTCCAAACCAGGCCAGTAACACTAACATTTTTGTTTTATTTTTTTTCTGTCTTATATTGGTAGGTTCAAAGATTGACAGGCATAATCTGAGATTTTAGTAAGAGGGGCTTTATATTTTGGACCACTAGAAAGAATTGGAAACTTGTGTCAAGGTCCAGACTTTACCAAAATTACCAGTCCATCCAAATCAGGAATTTAGTTAGGCCTCATCTTTTCTCTCCTTTTTTTTTTTTTTTTTTTTTTTTTTCTCCTTTTTCTTCAAAAACCTGAATTGTTCCGATTAAGATGAATTGTACATTGCTTTTAAGAGTGAAGATTACTTATTCCAAGACACTATTAAGGAACAGGCTGCCCAGGGAAGTGGTTGAGTCACTATCCTTGGAGGTATTTAAAAGATGTGTAGATGTGGAATTTAGGGACATGGTTTAGTGAACTTGGCAGTGTCAGGTTTACAGTTTGACTCAATGATCTTAAAGGTCTTTTCCAACCTAAATGATTCTATGATTCTAAGATAGGAAGGGCTAGCAGAAAAACATCATGTCAGCATGACTGTGGTACTGTGCAAATTTACATGCTTTATTCAAAGAATGGGATGTTGGAATAAAACTAAATTACTCTCCTTAGTTCTGAGCAAATTCTACTAGCATCTCTGCTAGTTGAAATTTTGCACTGCTTACCCAGAATACTCTGAAAAATTCGTAGCACACATTTTGTTTCATTTCTATATCCATGCCTTTTGATTGCACTTTTTTGATTTGGTGAGCACAAACTTTTAGTAGATTTAACCTCCCTTTCATGGGTATACATGGTCTAAGAGAAAAGGCTCTATAAGCTACATGACTAAAATTTAAGTATCTGATCTCTGTGGAAACAGTTTTGACTGGTATAACTCCTCACCCTTTTGAAGCTAATGCTGCCACGTGTCTTACTTGCATGAATCTTTAAGATTCACAGTCTAATTAGCAAAGCTGTGAGCTGTTGTCTGTCAGCAAGAAGCCCCTATATGGGCTGATGACCCTCTTTGTAGATGCCGGTTCCTTCCAAAGCTATACTGGATCCCATTACAGGCTCCATTTAGTGCTGCTATGCTGCCTGTATGGAATTTTCCCAGTGTTTAAAGGAACTCAGTGCCCATTTCTCACAAAGGGTGAAAGGCTTACAGAAACTCCTGGTCTCAGTTTACACAGGATTTCAGACCACTGGGGGATGCCATTTAACAGTACCTCCATTTTGACTCAGTCCCTCCAGCTGAGTGACCAACTACACACTCTCTTGCTGACACTGTGTGAAGATCTGCCACATAAAAGACTTTCTCCTGAATCAATTCTGGATGCATGTGAGGCACACCAGAAGGAGTCTGCTTCCTTACCAGCAAAAGTCTACATAAAGAAAATGGTCCAGTTTGCTGTGGGAAATGTCAGTGAGGTAGGTACTACTCTCAGACTCTAATAATCTCCTTTTCTTTGGTGAGAGAGGTGAGCAGCAACATGGGACATAGGTGAGGAATTGCATGAAATTAATGCTTGTATGAATTAAGGCAGTGAGATTTGGTTCTAGACTTCTAAGCAGGAAATTGAGTGGTCGTGTACAAGCAAATGAGGCAATGAATCCATGTCTCACATCACTTTTACACTCCCAGGAAATTATACAAATCCAGCTTTTGCACTTACAGTATCTTCATGTCTTTCATTAATACTGAAGAAATCATGATCTTTACAGAGACTTCATATTGACCAAAGGAATGGACTTTACACAAGAAAAAAGATTTCTTCATTGCTATTCTGGTTTCAGACCTTCTTTGTGAAATTCAAATAAATCATATTTACATCATATTGAGAATTTCATTCATCATCCTTGAGTGGAAGTGAACATTTACCATGCAATCAAGCCTGACCATGTAAAGTCTTTAATAAGTGAGCACATGAGTCTTTTTCAAGATTCAAAATATCAACAAACATTTTTTTGACAAGATGAATTAAACTGGAAGAAAACACACTGCAAACATTCTTTCCTGTTTTCAACCAGTATTCATTAACGTTCTTAGATGACCTTTTCCCTTTCACTCTCTGTTACTCTATTTCCCACTGTAACAGTGTCCCATCTTAAACACAGCTAGTATGAGAACATGAAGACATCAAAACTCAGTCCTGTTTTGTGTTTATCTGAGAAGATGAAGTTGCTTATACCAAGCAAATCAGCAGCCTCTGACAAGCAGAGGGCAAGGATCACTTCAGTATGAGAGTCTGAAGTCCACATATCATACGACATTGACTTGCAGTACTCTCTTTTCTAGGTAGAGCGGGTAGTCACCAAAGACAGCACAGCCTCTCAGCTTTACAGAAGTCACGCGATAAGGAAAAGGCTGCATGAGAAAGTATTAGACACCTCACCACTGTCTTCCCAGATGAATTTTCACCAAGGTAAAGACTTATTATTTGAACTGTCTAATAAGGATACAGCCAGCTTTTTCTGAGTCTTACTCATGCTAGGTGAATTGTTTAATTTCATGCTGTAGTGGTTACATATAGTGTTTGACAGGATATTTATTGCTTTACATATAAATGACTTCATAATGGAAAGAATGAGGCAAGTCAGCAAGGTTTCTGTTCCTTCTTTCCTCAAAGGACAGTAGTCTGAGGGCTGTGAAGCAATGATAACGAATCAGCTTGCACAGATTCAACTCTTAAAGCACTTTGCATAAAACCTGTGCATATTAAAAAAAAAACCAAACCACAACACTTTCGAAACTGCTTTTGTACTTTGTGTACTCCAATGTATTTTTGAAGGTAAAAAGTGGGATTCTGTGAAGTTATCCTGTTGTCATTGAAGAATATATATTTGTTTTTCCTATTTGATTACTCAAGCAAAGATTTTTGGTTTCATTTTGTTTTCAGTTCAATTTTTCTACTCAAAAGATGTTTTATAAATTCACACATGTATTGCTGGAGTGATTTCAAGACACAAGGCCAGATTCAGCTCACTATAGAAATAAACCAGCATATACTAATTTCACATTTCATTTGACTAAGATCAAGAGTTTATTAGCCCTCAGAGTAATTCTTTAACTGCAAATAAATGTGGACTTCAGGTTCAGATAGTTCTTTTTTCTAGTATCTATATTGCACTGTTCACTTCAAGAGGAATCTCTGATTTTGGGGCAAGAGGAAGGCTGGCCCAAGCTATGCAGGCTTTTTTTGGATATGCTCAACATTAGGCATATGAACAGTCCAATTCCTATTCAGCAAATCACAAAAATGTTCCGTTAACTTCAACTAGAATTAAACATATGCTTAAATACCTATGGAACATTTCCATTAGGTATTATTGGTCATAAGAAAAGGAGATTTTTTTGAAAACATACAGATAAACCACCCCCAAATCATATTGGCTCACTCACTCATTCAGAAACTGAGTTTATAGATTCGCACTTGCATAAGATGGTGAAAACCCTGCTGCTGCCAAAATGCGATGGTCCCATCTTCAAGCCCCTATTAGCCACAGATTCCTGCCATTTCCTTCCTACTGGTTCTAGTGATTATGTATCTGGGGTGATCTCTGTGTTTTCTAGGGATGCAGGTCACGTGGCTTACAATTGCTGAAGGACTTCAATGAATCAGGATGTTTATTACCTTGAAAATGTGTAAGCCACACTTTTCAAGGCAGCACTCCATTTTTATTTTTTTATTTTTTTATTTTTTTTAAATTAAAAATTATCACTTTCAGTGATTCTGGAAAAGGACAAGAGACAATGCAACCAAAGTAAAGTTAGGGTACAACAGACATACATACTTCCTAATGACTCAGGATGACCCCTTAATGGAATTTCTGCAGCTGATTCTGGCAGTGGATTGTGTCTGGGCACTGTCAATCCTGCATACAGAAAGAATACTTTATAGCTGAAGGTTTTGGGCCTCAGAATATAAGGAAGGAGAACTCTGCAAGTTATCTGCACTTTGCAACCTTTCAGTTAAACATGTAGAATAGAATTAATATATTAGATTATTTTTTATTTTGAATGGTTGAGGAGAACTACGAGAACTATATTGGGTCAGAATAAGGTTATGATAGTAATAGAATGAAGTTACCAAGCTTCCTTCTGTTCTTAAGGAATTGAAGTCAGGGTTAGAAGGCAGACAGGCATGGACTATATAAAAATTGGTCAGGTCAAATGTTATTTATCTTATCATGCAGATACAATGATTTATAATTAAACTATGTGATTCATCATATTTCCTTTCTGTTTCAAGAAAAAGGGTCCAGATTAATGAATTATAGTCGATCAACAGAAGATTACAGGCAATTATCTGTGGACTACAGTGACTCTAATAGTATTTCTGAAAGTACATCTTTGATACTGTCTAACCAAGGACACAGGAGAGGTAAGATTTTCCTGAAAGATTATGTTTATGAATTATGTACTCATCTCTCTTGTCCCCTGAAATGTGAGACTACCCATGTATGGTCAGGTGATAGGTACTCCCATGCACTTGCAGTCACGTGACTGGGGAGGTATATTTGTGCTAAGCTGCAGAGAAGAAAGATCCTTTTACAGTGGATTCCTTTTTACTTGTGTCCTACTATGAAGCTATACATTGCCTAGTTACCATGAAGCACCGTCACCTCTTTCTTGCTTTATGTCCCCTTTGCCAGGTGAAGCTGTTCATCAGATCACAGTCAAAGCCTGACAGCATGTTTCTGGCACATAGGGTATTGAAATATTTGAGAAACAGTGGACCTACCCCACAAACACATATGATGGGCAATGTCAAGATGGAAGCACTGAAATCAGTTGAATCTATGAATAATACCTAAGACTTGAATGGTGGGGGTTAATGTTTCTTCAAGGCCACTCAAAACAATGGGACTAATTCTGAAATCTTGAAGAAAGAAACCACCAAGCATCCCTTTGTTTTCTTTTCATTTTTGTCCTAAAGCCATTGTGTATTTTCTGCTCAGTGTGTTGTTTTTGTTAAGATAAATGCCAGGTTGCAATGCTGCTCTTCTTGTTTACTCTGTCCGGAGATATGAGAGTTGGAATTTTAGCTCCACTGTCAATACTTTCATGGCTGGAACAGCATGAAAGAAACTGTTCTGGAGAGGACCCATTCAGTGAAGACACTGTGGTAGACATCAGTCAGGGTCCTTCCCAAGCCACTTAAATCACAGTGTAGGGGGGGATACTATGAAGCAAAGAAAGGAATTCAGCAGGAAGGGGAGTACTGATGTGCATGTGTATCTTCATGTTTAAATTGGAATTTGAGCTAGGGACACCTAGACAGGACGTTCACACTGCCTATAAGCCACTGCCAAATGTCATTGTCTCCTAAAAAATCAAGCCCCACATCTCAGACTCCTGTTCATTTCTATTCTCCACTGCACAGTTACCCACCCTCCCATCTGCTTTCAACCTTTTTTCCCACTCTTCTTGGGGCACACGTCCTGAGCTTCCAGATCCAGAGGTGGAAGTTTGCTCTGTACTTCAGAATTTACTTCCTCCCTCTATGAACCTCCATGAGAAATTAAGTACTAAGGTCCTCCTCTGGCATGGATTCAAATGTGCTCTGTAAGCATGTGCATTTTTTTATCGCATAAATGTCTTCCCTAAAGCTATAACTCTAGAGTCCACTACATCAGTTACGATGCAACAAGGTATGCATACCAATTGGTTAATTCATTGGTGCCATAAATAACAGAAAACTGCTGAGTAGTCCTTGCATTCTCTCACTGGGGAGCATTAATTTGGGTTTATGATATCCAGCTGCTGATTGTCATGAAATTTGTAGGAACATATTACCCACCATCTCCCAAATTTGAAAGGTTTAAAATTTACTAAACAAAAATAAAAGTCATGGAACATGATCTCCAGGGACTAATTTCACTAGGAAAGATGTCAAAAACCCTGGGTGCCCACTACATTAACATAAGTCTCCCATGAGATAATTTACAGAGAGAAAGCAAATACATCCTGAGGAAAAAAACCCACATGTAATAGCCTCTCAGCCCCAAGTCCTTAGCCCCAAGGAAGAGGAAGGTGAGGTTACTCATACAACTGCTGTTGATACTCTCCTCCTGAAATGTGCTTTTCCGAAGCTATAGAATTGCAATCTATTGATAGCAGCAATAAAAACCCAAGACTGCAGCCACTCCCTATGTGACGCATATGTCTCAGTCACATACCTAGTGGTACATAGTGAAAGTAAATTCAGAAGTCTGTTTTGTAAGTCCTTTTTTAAAAAATTTTGGTCATAGGCTTGACAAAGGCTCATTCCAGTGAATCTGTGCACTTCTCAGACTCCACTGAAACATTGGTAGCTGTTCATACTCAGGATTTTGTAACACAGAACTCTAAATATACAGGAGAAAACACAGAATATGACAGCTTGTTTGCTGGAGACATTCTTTCATAAGATAATGTATTAGAAAAATGCATTTTTCTCTGAAAAGGAATATTACCATCTAATAAAGCACCATTATCAAGGGAGACCAATATCTCTATCCAGACTGCATGTTAGAAGCTTATTTAACAGCTATTAAATTAATCATCTTCAAAATCAACTTCTTTGAGGGCCACGTGTTACTTAAACATCAGGAACGTGTTAGATTTGTGATCAAAGCATGGCAGTCTGTCCATTTGAAACCAGCCAACTTGTCCCACTGACATAACAGCTGGGACAGGAAAACTAAAGAGAATTTTATGTGCTTGTCAAATTGTATTTATACAACTATGTGAAACCTAAAGTGTAAGCAGAGAATTTTGCAAGGCTTTCTCATTAAAAAGCATGTAGTTTCAGAACACAGGACTGAATCTTACCTTTGGTAACTAGTCCTAAGTATTTGGCTTCTCTCAAACCTCACATTTTGTCACTAAAATCTGCAGCTTGAAAAACATGTTTATGCCTATTTTAGCAATGTGACTGGAGATTTTCTAGGTTTTAAAATTGCAATTAGTGGTTGGTACACTAGAATTCAATGTCATGTTTTCATGTTGGATTTCAGAGTGCAATGTCCTGGTGTAGTTCATGGATATTTTATCTGGAGAAAAAGCTGACCTAAATGATTACTTCCACATAGCTCATCTTAGCACCTCTATCATTCTGCCTATGTAATAGTTTGATTTGCAGTTCTTCAAATAAGATCAATGAAATGATCCAAGTGAAGAAAAAATTTAACCTTCCCAACCTTCCCTATAGGATTTAAAATATGTCTGGTGCAAGAAGAAATGTTCATGGAACTACTACTTGCATAACCCCTTCTGGTTCTACCTCTCGATTTCAGACTTTATGTATTTGGAGAAAGCAATGTCTATCCTTTCTGTAGCAGCAGAGATGACTGAAGGTGAAGAATTATACAAATCTTATTTGCTAATGACTCACAAACCATCCTATATTCCACCATATTTTTATGATGTAAAAACATGCACAATATATTTATTTTATCAGATAATCACTGAAATATTTACAACTAGTTTTCATTTCAATGATTTTATGTCCTAGTCTGATTAAGCCAGAGAGGTTTCATGGCTTCCCCCCCTCAAGTTTTATGCCTGGAAATAGAAGAACAAAGAATAGTAGGGGGAATTTCTGAAGATCAAGTGCTGTTTCACAAATTACCCCCATACATATGGAAATAACAGCCATTGTACTTTCACAGCTATTTTCCAAATTACATTCACATGAAGGGTTATGAAGAGGAAGTAACAGTAACTAGAGAACTGGGAATACTGCTGGTGTAGTATTCACTTAGCCTTATCAAATAACCATTTATCATGCCCAAGGAAAGACACAAGGGAGGAAGTAGCCAGTCTCAATTTCCTCCTTGTAATTGTTGCAAGATCTGATGGTGAGTGCTGCTACAATTGCTTCAGCTGTGAAATTTCTTTTATTCATTTCAGATAGAGTTCCACAGACACGCAGTTCATGGGATCCCAGCCTTAGTGGGTCAAGGACACAAAGTAGCTACAAGCTCTTCATAAACAGGTAATCAAAACTCATATTCCTAAAAGATGGAAACTGTTTTATTACCAAGTGAAGCAGACAACTACTATGTCAATGCCATTATCAGAAAATTCCCAGATCGCCCTCTGAACCAGCTTTGATACTGTTTATGTAGAATTTAAGTGAACCAAGACTCATTTTCACTCTAAGAGAAACAGTCCAAATGCTCAGTGAAATGGCGCTTGGGCCCTGAACAATCCATGCCAAACAAGCACACTGAACTTTTCCACCTTTACTTGTTACCACTGTGTCCTGCCAGATGTACCTGGCCTTCCAGAACAGGTGACCCTAGCATGTCTCTGTCAGAATTGGATAGCTAAGCAGCAATAGCTCGCTGTGACTGAAACAACTGGGAATCAGCTCCACAGAGAGTATGGAAGGGAAAAGCCTGTTGAGAAGGTATGAACAGTCATTGCTTGCACTGGCAAGGCATTCTGAACAGTCCATATTTGTCTACATTCAGATTGTGGATCTGTTCTTGCCTTGCTGCTGCATTAGCAGATGCTTGATGTGTTCTGGAGTGGTTATGACAGACCATGTATACGATCCATTATTTTCAGTGTATTATTTGCATTTCCATCTCAGTTCTTTGATTTGTCTCATTTGTGTCAACTGTGGCCAGCCCTGTGCCATCAATTTACTGAAGAGTTATAGGTAACCCAGGAATACAAGCAGTAAAGACCTCTGCTTTGTCATGAGGATTGTCCTCATTTTAGTCATGACCTGTACAACAGCCCTGTAGGCATAGACAAGGAAAGAAGAGAATTGTGCAACTGATAGTAACTCCTTTTCAAAAGCCAAGGAAACACCACTGCTGTCAAATAAGAGTTTTCTAGACTGGCTGTTAGCATAGTGGAGCTGTAATCATGGCTGTTTCCAAATGAAGAAGAGATGTAAGTACTGTTAGCCTCTAGGTACCAAAAAGACCAGAATCCCATAGTTAAGCATCATGCAATCCCTACAGATATCCCATTTAAATTGAGTACTTGACCCAGTTAAACATGAGTTTCTTCTTTTAACCTTCACGTGAGTAATTCAGACCCACAGAAAATGCTTAATTTAGATCAACTCCCAATTAAATGTATGCCAAGTAAACAGTTTGACCTTCCTGATAAATCACCCATGATAATCTAAGCAACGTGAGATACCCCAGTACACCTCTAAACCTCCAATAAGAAAGAACTACAAGCAGGCTGCAGGACTGTAGCAGCTTTTGTGAAGAAAGAATTCTATCTGTCTAACTGCACACACATATGTGTGTGTGTACACAGACATCTATATAGGCATCACACACCTGGCAATGATATTAGTAACAGAAGATTTATCTACTGAGTACTTTGGAGCAATTGCCATATCTCTGACTACCAACCTGGGTATCATCTTGATATCCTTGATCTAAAATCATGCTGCCAAGAAAATGTTCCCCTCCTCTGCTGAAAGATGAACTATCTTCTCCAAATTTTCAGCAAACTCTTTCCCATAGAACTTCAATGACTGTAAACCCCACTTTTGGTTGTAAGCATCGGCAATTGAATTTCTACCAATGTCGCCATCCTATTGTAAGTACCAGGACAATAGTGGAGTTGAAATAATTAGCTTGGAAACCACCAATTTCCCATATAGGACGACAACAAACACAAAACTTAGTGTTGGATTTACCATCTATAAAGCTTACTAGTATCATCATGCTCACTTCTGTAAGTAGTCCAACCGATACAATTTACATCTCATAAATTTAAGCTTGTAGGTATATGCAGGGTTATGACCTATATATAGAGGACACAGCTGTCAAGTCTGGCATCTCTCATTTCTCAGGACTAATAACAGGAAGTGTTTTCCCCAGGAAAATGAAGTCTTCTTAATACAACATCTTGGGTTTTGAGCTAACAGTATTTTTACAACCACAGAAGTCACTTCAAGTAATTTTTAGGCATATTTCTTAGTTAAATGTTGATCTTTATGAAGTTGTGTTGATAGAAACAAAAATATCTGGTTATCTTTATAGACAGAGGAATGTAAACTAAGATAGGATAGGATAGAATAGAATAGCACAGAACAGTTCAGTTGGAAGAGACCTGCAACAATCATCTAGTCTAACTGCCTGACCACTTCAGGGCTGACCAGAAGTCAAAGCATGTTATTACGGGCATTGTCTAAATGCCTCTTAAACACTGATAGGCTTGGGTCTTTGACCACCTCTTTGGGAAGCTTGTTCCAGTGTTCAGGCACCCTCCCAGTAAGGAAATGGTACCTAATACCGAATCTGAATGTCCCCTGATGTAGCACTGAACCATTCCCCCATGTCCTGTCACTGGGTACCAGGGAGAAGAGATCAGCAACTACTTCAGTAACTTTGTTAAAAACCTTTTAAAATTCCCCGAATAGCTCCCTGAAGCAAGTCTGCAACATGCAAAAGAACAGGATAAAATAAAAAAAAAAAGCTTCTAGGTGAGTTTGGCATTTGTTAAAAAAGTAACAGATAAAAATCCAGCTCAACAATACCTTTCCTTCTATACCACATAGTCATTCTTTCCTCATTGATAAGTGTATATATTATATCCTCAGTTTATTCTAAGCATACATGTGTCTGCTCATGTGGAAAACACCATTACATTATGGGTTAAAAGTATAGTTTAAAGACAGCTTTCTGATCTGAGATTTCACACATCTTTCTCTTAATTAAATTGAAAATTCCCCCAGTTCCCTAAGACGCTAATTTATTCTAATGAATTAGTATTGAAATAATTTAATTCCCATTCCTGGAAAATTCTGAATAATGTAACAACAAATGTTATGGCTTCCTGAAGCTTGTTTGCTTCAGAAAATAAGAAATGAGGAATTGACTTCATCCTGTAGAATTTCCAGAAAGGCATGATACTAAATTCTTTGCCTGTTGTCTTCACCAACAGCTAGATCTGGTTCACCAAATGGAAAAAAAAGCAAACAAAACAAAACAAAAAACAACCCACTGTTATTGATTTAAAGCAGATTTTAGATTTATTTATAAAGGGCATCAGTAATGTTATACCTGTTAAATTATTTTTATTTTTCGCTAAAGAAACATTTAACATCTTATAACTGACATTGCTCTGGATTTCATAATATTCTGCCTGTCAATGTACCTTAAGCTCTTTGTCCTCAAGTCTGTGTTGCTTTGATTGCATGCTGTATTGCTCACTATGTTATTTCCTTTGAAGGTCAGTCAGTGCTGTAGAAGAAATCCCTGGTGGAACTCAGGAGAACAGCAGACAGAACCTGTTAAGTTTAGGCTCCACCTTTTCTGTGTCTACAAAGGACTACACAGCAGCTGCTGCATCACAGAAATGTTTGTTCCACAGGAAGGAAAAGGTGACTAATGAGAAACATACAAACTGATTTCAAAATGTAAATATCACTAAAGAGAAACCTCTCATCCAGTTGCCATTCGCCAGTGATGTGCATATTACTTACTGAGTCATCTAATTAGATGAGTATTCTAAATTGACAGACTCCAAATTAGGCATGATCCAGTTGTGATAACTCAGAACTGAAGGCAGTGAAAGCTCTCATCCATAAAGACTAGGCAAAAGCTGATAACCAAACCCTCTCTGACCTACATGTATGATTTCTTCAAGTGTCAAATACCACATGGACTGCTTTCATCAACCATTTTGTCAGGAGCTTCAGAAGAGCAAAAGTATTTACAGACACATTGAACCCAAAGACTTGCGGGTCAATGGTGTTCAAAAGCTAGCAGTGAGTGTGCCAAACCAATAGTTCACTTAAGGGTCTATTTCTAGTTGCTGATTTGTTGTAGGACTCTGTTAAATGGGAAAGATAATGTTTCTTTGGTAGTTGGATCACAAAAATCCAGAAATAACCGAATCACAGAAAATTCCACAATGCTGCTGCCCATGGAGCTTTCTGTCATGGAAGTAGAAGGCACAGGTTTCAGGCTGGTTAGTCCTTTCACCTGTTCATAGTTCACAAGCTCAAGACTGGCTAGTGGCAGAACTTTGATCAAGAGTTTCAGTTATATACTTTGAAAAATTTTTTTATGTATAAATTTAGTTTTAAATTTTGTTACTATGATTTTTGCTGAGATAATAATTGGGTTCCTTAGAAGGAGTCCAGGAACTGTTACAACAAAGTGTTAGTCCCTCTTTATATGTGATACAAAACTGCATTGTCTGTTGGCAGGACAATACTATTACGAAACAAAACATACATTTTCTCAAGAAAAGATCTAAATGGGTCAAGGCACCAAGTCATGGAGAATGGTTAGAAGGATCCACATCTTACCACTTGCGGACATTTAGTTATTTCTGTTTTCTTCAAGGATCTAAAAGCATAGATGAATCTGAAAAAAATATGCAAAATTCCTTGAGGTAGATGTTCAGCAAGAAAAAAAGCACCTTGTGCTGTTAAAGTTTGTTGAAGTTAAGGCAAAAGAATAAAGCAAAAGACTATGTCTACTAATAAGAAATATCAGTCAACCTTCATTACAGGGAAGAAAGCAGCTCTGCACTGTAGTCTGGTTCCCTACAGAAGTCAGGCTTATGTAATCACAGTCAGTGTTGTGTATGTATGTATACATGTACATGTCTGTGACTGTCCTCATAGTAACTTTGGAATCAAATGGGACAAAGTCTTAGGAGAAACTGAGTTTTTGTAGGTGTTATGGAAATAAGTGTCTTGCAAAGGAAATGGATCTCGGTTAAGTGCCTTTCCATAAGAAAAGGCTTCAGTATGAGCTTACCGCTAACTAGACTCCAGAGAGCCCATACAGGAGAGACCCCAAACAGACAGAAATCTTCAATCAGCATTTTCACCTTATTAGACACAACAGAAATGGGTTTCATTGGTACTGGTATTTGAGATCTTCATTAAATTAAGGAGACATTTATTAAATTTCTAAATTGCCTCCTTACAGTTTTCAGGTCCAGAATTTATTATTTTGTCTAGTGAACCACCAGTGACCTTACAGCTGCCTGGATCAATTGTGGTAAGTATGAACATTAAGAATTTAGAACGGATCTAGTGACCTTTTAATTGGGGCTCTTTGTAAATTGCATCTGAGTCCCAAACCAGTATTCTTGCCATGTCTTCCTCCAAGATCAAGTTTGGGTTCCTGCAGAGGTATTGAGACTTAAAAGGATGTAATTTAATGATCAGTTCTATGAAGTTATTCCTTTTGGTATGAAAATAGCTTAATTTATCCTTCTCAGCTAAGAATGATCACTTTGGCACAAGACCTTTGAAATGAAGATTATACAGCAAATATGCAACGTGACACCTAGTACCGATGTATTGGACTCCTCTAGTTTGCAAGCACATCCTCTACCTATCATTAAGATAAAGTAAAAGGCTGACAGCATACAGCAGAAAAAATGAGGACAAAGAAAATTTGGAATCGCCCTCAAATCTAGAGTAATCCTTGTAATTGCAGAGTCTGAGTATGCTCAACCACCTAGTTGGGATTCCCTGGGTTTTTTAAAAATTAGAAATGTTTAGGATATTAATTTCTGAGAAGAGATGCAGGGAATAGCATAGTGTTGTGACCAATTCCATCAGGTTATGTAGAGACAGTAGACCAGGGGGCCTCAGTAATAAAATGCTGTGGAACTTTCATTGCTTGTACTTGGCACTCATCCTTCATTCTTTGTTACATGTTCTTAGACTAAAAAAGGGAAATCCTATTTGTCCCAGAGGGATCTCAACGTGATTCTACTCAATGGGCAGTGCCTTGAGGTGAAATGTGACATTAAGTCCAAGGCAAGAGATGTTTTCAACACCGTGGTGGCATATGCAAACTTGGTGGAACATTTCTACTTTGGCTTGGCTTACCTGAAAGGTAATGAGACACAGCTAACTGCAGTAACAGTGCTCTCCCTCAGTGCCTCTGTATTAACTTTATTAATGAATTCCAGTAAGATCCTTTAAGATCCTCAGATGAAAGCAGATCCAAAGCTTAAGCAAAAGTAAGGTACGTTGGTTTAAACTGTACTGCACAAATGTAAAGCATGTCTACCCTAGGACTGTTCATCAGCACAGCCATGCTGTTACTGGCTGATATTCTCATACAGAAAAGTCTGTGTCCCAGCCTTGCACTGTAATAATAGAGTCATGTAGCTCCAGCAGAAATCCCAGGAAGCACGGTACTGAGGAAGGCTGACTGTCTTTGTTCCTAGATAAAACTTGGAGTACAGGCTCAGCTATTTCATCTACAAGATTCACATCTGCTTAGCCCACTTCTGATGGCAAGCATGGCTGAGGCACTAGGAAGAAGCATACCTTGTATGTAGGACATGAGGATTACAATGGGGTGCAGAACCTGCATGGTGAGCAGAATGCAAGCCCCATCAATTCTTGAGTGATTCCATAGGTACCACACCAATCCAGCATCTAACAACTGTAATACTAAATTACACACAAACATTATCCTAAGTTCTCCATCAAGGAAGCAATAAGTGAAGCCATGACACAGAGAAGTAAATCTCAACTGACACCCATGATCCATTTTATTTTTTTATTTTTAGTGATGCACTGAAGGAAGACAGCAGAACTTTGAGCTACTGAAGCATCTCCAGACTTATCACAGGACCCAAATTGTCATTTCAGGTAAAGAATTCTTCTTTTTGGATGAGGAGACCAAACTCTACAAAGTGGCCCCTGATGGATGGAATGACCAACCCAAGAAGAAAACCTCCATCATTAATTTCACACTCTTTCTAAGGATTAAATTCTTTGTCAACCACTTTAATGTTATCCAGTAAGTGCACGGTTCTGCTGACTTCAGAAAAAAAAGTAGCATTTAGGGTGACTGTTCAAGGCTCCTCCTGTGTTCCTAAACCCTTTTGTGTTCCAGGCATGGCTTGACAAGGCATCAGTTTTACCTGCAGCTTCGTAAAGATATTTTGGAGGAGCGATTATATTGCAATGATGAGACTGCCCTGAAACTCGGCGCTTTGGCTTTACAGGCAGAGCTTGGCAATTATGCTTCTGAGGTGTGGATAAATAATACAATATTTCTCAGAGGTCCCTCTCAACTGCTTTTGCAGCTTTTGTTTGTCACATAGAGTTTAAAGATGAAATGTGAATAGCACATAATTTCACCTAAATCCTTCGGTAATCACATTTCAGATTTAATTTTAAAAATTACAAAATTTGTCTGATTAAGGAGCAATAATAATCCAGATGAATTTGGCAGGAAATATGGCAGAATGATGAAAGACACTTTTTCCTTCATACTTGATAACATAGCCCAGAAAGTCCAGAAAATCTGTAGAAAGTTTCCAACACAGGCACAGCTTGAATATGCAGTGGGGTTTAAAGAGATTAGAAAACATGGAAGAGAAAAATTAATAAACACTCCAGAATTCACAGCTGTGTTGTGTGTAGGCTCAGATCCACAAGCCGCAAAGACAGGAAGGTTGATGATGGTATATCTGAACTAGTTATCCTAGTTTTGAAGTGTACAGAAAATACCCATTTATGTTCTCCACTATACCTTCAGTTATACAGATCAGTGTAGCTCTACTAATGGAACTCTGAGTGGTCTGATCCATCCAGTCGGATCCATCCTGGCATTGGGTCCCCTACTGTAGGCTGTACTGATGCAGCTGTACCTGTCAGCTCTAAGTGCAAGACTGCGGGCATGCCTGGAGGCCCAGCTCTTTTCTCCCCCCAGCACAGAGCAGTGGTGTGTGCTCCGAGCGCCTGGCGGAGCACAGGTGCAAAAGGCACATTTGGCTGTCAGGACACTACCTGCTGTTCCCCATATTCTTTTAGGAAATGGCAACAGGGTGACTTCAGCATATGGGTCACCTTCAAAATGGGAATGCACCAAACAAGAGAAGTCAAGAAAGAACAAAAGGCTCCTCTCTTTTTTGTTTTTTGTTTGTTTGTTTGTTTGCTTGTTTGTTTTTTTGTTTTTTTTTTTTTTTGGGGTTTTTTTTTTGTTTGTTTGTTTGTTTGTTTTTTTACTTTTTTCTCCCAAAGATGCATGGAAAGAGTTATTTTCGTGTGGAAGACTACGTTTCAGCAAGCCGAATAGAGAAAATGACCCTGGCATATGTACAGCAAGAGCTTGCTAAATTACATCGTATGAATCATTCCCTACTTGAGGATGAAGCTGAACTAGAATTTTTAAAGGTAACTTGCCATACCCTAAACATTATTTACTTATTTTGAGATAGAAAGCCCCTCTCTATTTACCTTTGTCTATTACTTCCTTCCTGCCTGATACAGTGGAATTTAAATATGGTGAACAAATTTGAATAGTCAACAAAAACCTCAGAATATAATGCTTCCATATATACTGTCACTCTAAATAACTTACATCACAATTACATGGTAGGTTTCCTTTCACTGATAATTTATAGGGGGTTTATAAGGACTTATTGTACAGTTCAGGATATTTTCAACATCCTAAGGGTTGATGCAAATTTCCAGCATGGTACCAACACGTCTGGGTTCCAGATAATTATAAATACACCTACTGAATGTATTAGAGATTATTATAAAACATGGGAACAAGCACTTTCTTGACTTCTGAAACTACAGCAGCTGTTCAGCCACTTTCTAAGCATGTAGTGATTATTTGTTTAAAAATATCTGTGAACCCTGGAAGTGAAAAAAGAGTTATCTGAAGTATTTTCTCACATGACTATTTCTCTGGAGTGTCATGATGGTGTGGGATTTAACTTTTTTCCCCACTAATTTCTCCTTCTCCCCCAAACTTATCTGCTTTCCATGAAAAATAACAGGGATTACATAATGCATAAATATAAGTAGCCAGTTTGCTGCAGTGCCACATGCTTTCATTTATAACATCATTTTAGTTCAGTTGTTTAATTGTTAGTTCCTCATCTAACACTGCCAGTGGAATTGAAGCAACAGACTGAAGCTTAGCCTTAATGACAGTCCCATCATGCGTAGCAAAGCCAATGAAGAAAAGCAGCTTTGTTAGTACCTATTTCGATGAGTAAGTCTGGAGAAGGAGCCAACACATCATACAAAGTGAGAAAGATAGACCCCATGGCAAGAACATGCAAATTCCAAACATGAAAGGGATTAAAAATTAAAAAACAGATTCAGCAAGTGATTATAGATGCCCCAGTTTTCAGGATTAACATTTGTGCTCTGGATACTTTCTGAAAAACAGATCTTCAAGTGTTTTATTTTGGTCACGGAAAATCTCTATTTGCAGTTGAAAAGTCATTTGGGAATTGTACATTAGCTTCCCCGATAAAAAAAAGTTTTAGAATAAACTCATATTGATCTGCAGATCACAAAAGAGAGAAAACCCTCCTCATATTCCATAGTTTTGTAAAGGGTCTGAGTCACAGTTTAACATTTTTGTGGCCAAGTGCAGAAGGTAGAAAGACAAGCAACAACACCCAAAACCTCCGGGTGACTTCCCCAGAGTATCCTCTGCACAGTTAGATAGCAGGGACAGAAGCTGGCTCATCAGTCCCTTAATCCTGCTTAACTTTTCATCCAACAATGATCACTCTGCAAGAACGAAGCGACACTGAAGATCTGTTACTATAAAGTTTGACACTTCAGGAGAATTCTGGGGCAGTGAAATTCCCTCAGAAGTCACCACTATATTTAGGTGAGATATTCTGAGGTACAGTTTAGCAAACCCTCTAACTTAAGATCTTGGCAATGGAAATTTATAATATTTGATTTTTAAAAATGATAGCCATGAAGGAGTGGGTGTAGGTACCTGAGTGAGTTCATTGCAGGCTGGGAGCTGCAGTGTCACTTCAGTTAGGATTTCCAGTTGGTCATCACTATTTGTAGAAAGGAAACCACATAAGCCCATAACAATGTCAGAGTAGCCCTGGTACCAAAGTATTAGCAGTTTTACTAAGATCATCATATTTGCTGTAACTTGCGGTGTCTGGGTTTGCTCAAGGAAACAAAGACACAGAAAAGAAAACCGAAAGAAACAAATTTTAACAGTAATCAAGCAGCATTAATCCTGCATGGATTTCTATTCAGAAATGCACACAAGTGCTAAGTAGCAGTAATGCTGAGTACCTCACTGCCACTGCATTGTTTAGATTATTGTGCAGGAAGCTACATAATTCCACCTCTTCAGATGAGTTGTGTGGGAACGTGTTGTTTCAGTTTTACACATGGAAAATGAATGCATGCAATGGTTCTATGATATACCAAAGTAAGGTGATGATTCTGTGATGCAGTAGGTATGGAAATTTGGTAAGGGTTTTGAGAGGTTTCTTGACAGAGTGAAAGAATATTCAGTAAAGACACTCAAAATAATTTCCTCTCCCATCTACCTACCATTTTTTCCTATGCGTCTTTTTGAGTAATGCATGGTAAATGCACTTTTTCATTACAAGGTCACTCAGCAGCTTCCTGAATATGGAGTGTTATTCTATCATGTGTCCCAAGAGAAGAAAGGAGTAGGAGGGGACATCATCCTGGGAATATGTGCCAAAGGCATCATTGTGTATGAAGTCAAAAATCATACAAGAATTGCCAGTTTACGATTCCAGTGGCGTGAAACAGAGAGAATTTCAGCTCATGTGAGTTGGAATCAAGTGAATCTCTTTTCCACTTTACTACTTTACTCCCCTTCTGCCTGTCACTTAGATAAATTCATTGCATTCAGAGCCAGAATTAGACTCATTATGCCCAGGCATGTCCTTTTTGAAAAGTCTAAAATCAAGGCTGGATCTGGATACTAAGATATCCAGTTCTTAGTGAGGTTTATTTCTAGAGTTTTTTTGCCAAGGCTGGAGTCAAATTACTATAAAACTGAATAATCTAGAGTTGATGATTTCAGGGACTATGTCAAACCTCTTTATTGCATATTCCATATTCATTTTTCTCTCATCTTTACTTCTCTCTCTTTTTTTCCTTTGTTTTCCTACCTACATCAGGTTATGGGATTATGTCTCTCCCTTTCCAGATCTCATTATTTCCATCCTTATCTCTTAGTATATTTATGTCTGTTAATAACCTGGTATGTGTGACAAGACTGTGACCCCTTCTAAATGGTACTCTGCCATCAGAGGTCTATCAGTCTACCATCATACAGTGTAGTTGTGAACCTGCAGCACACATTTCCCATCCTGTTTGCTCTACCAAAATGGCCCTTCTGCCCCTTGAAGATATTTTCATTTTCACCTTAAATTGGTTTAATTATTTTTAACAACTGCATTCCAAATTTTGCCAATTCTATCAGCCTCCTCTCAATGCAGTCAATGCTCAAAGGCTCTTGATTTCAACATAGGGCAGTTGTGACAGACACCTCACTAACAAATGTTGAACTTACAGTAGGCATTTACTGTGTCCCAAAGGCATGCTGTCAGGCATAAATACATCTGGACAAACCAACAAGATTATACAAATGAACTTTCAGTGCTCAGCGTAATGACTGATATATGAAGCAATCTGTGCTTTTTTTTCCCTTTAGCGAAAAAAATTCATGATTGAAAGCAGCTTCAGTGGCAAGAAACACACCTTTGTTACCGATACAGCAAAGACATGTAAATATCTACTGGATCTCTGCTCTGCCCAGCACAAATTCAATGCACAAATCAATTCTAGGCAACTTCAGCAAACTTCAACAGGTGAGGTATAAATACGCTTTCCTTATTCAGGCCATAGGACAGGGTTAGGTTTCAGGAAAGTTGCATTCAATGAAGCTGAGAATCAGAACTTGCCACATCAATTTCACTGTGTTTCAGTTTCTCTGTTTCAGACTAGAAAATAGTATCTCCTACTTCACTGGAAGTTATAGGTGTGTAAATCTAATTTAGCATGTACATATGAGTGGGCAGATGCAGGGGATGGAGAGGGGTTTTCTGGTGATAATAACTATGTAGCTAAACTCAGATTTTTAGAAAAAAAAAACATGATTACACTTACCTTCAGGAAACCTGCTGAGAATTCTGAAGAAACATATCAGATTTAACCCAGATGTAGCCCAAGAAATGTTCCACGCAAATAACTATAGTAGTGCCCAGATATGCTGGAGCTGAACTGGTTATCTTTGCATAAGACAGGAGTTAAACCCTACAGTTCAGTCCCAGGACAAAACCACTAAACCAAAGGCACATCAGTCATACCCACTCAACTATGTAGCTGCTAGCTGCTCTTATTTTAGATTTTGCCATGTCTGTGGAAGATATGACTAATACCTCCTTAGACTTCAGATTTTCCATAGTTTCTAAGCCAAGGTTCTGTTCAACCCAGGGCAGTTACACAGCACTTTTCATTCATGGTTCTTAGCATGCTCTATAAAGATGGGTGAGGATCATTATGGGGAAAGTGAGGCACATACAAAATAACAGTCTAAGCTGATAACTGTCATCACTCTTGAGCTTAGTGGAGCAACATGAGTTTTCACTAGCTCATCCATTGCCTTGAACAGAATCATGATCATGTATGATCACTGATTATTTGACCCAGTGAGTCATAGCAGAAGAATCAAGTTTCATGCCTTATCTGCTGGGATACTCCTTTCTCTGGTAAAACTGTGAAAGTGTTGGCAACAAATTATATCACAGGATATAACAGGATGATTGACACATTGTTTCTTTCCCACTGAAATTATTTAATGAAAAGTGAAATCTGACCTGCACAGTTTTTTTACCATGACAAAAGGTGCTAGAATGACATTTAGGTTCAAGGAACCTTTTGTTGCTTGGACTCCTGTACCTTCAAACATAACTTAGTGCAACTGTGATTTGTAGCATACAAATTAGTGTTAATAGTGAATCTTAAAGTTTCCTGTATCATATTTGCTTGTGGTAACATATCTTAATAAAAATTACTACATTCCATATATAAGAGAACAAAAAGATTGAGAGCTAAGAAAATTATAACCCAAACCCTATTACAAGCACCCCAAATAGCTGAAACAAACCAGATTTACACAAGCCATGTGACTGCAGGTTCTGAGGTTTGGTGTGTGTTTTCTGTCCCAGAAAAAAAGGCTTTGTGAAGGCAATGACAGACTAGTTCAGAATGCTGCCTTTGTCCCCACAGTGAGGCTGTAAGAGATTACAAGATTCTTTCTGCATGAGGGAAACTCTTGCTTCTGCTGCACTGGTCAGATGTCACCATCTCTTCAGAACTTGCTAGCAACCTCCTACATTGAAATCACCATGGCAACTCTCAGACTGCACTAATGCTGTGGACAGTTAAGCCTTCTGATGCCTTAACAAATGCCTCTGATTAGTCACTGAGGAAGAAGGGAGCCTTGATTTAATGCCGCAGAGTAGTGTTCTGGAAAGTTGCATTCAGGCTAATACTTGTTAGGGAAACACACAGGAGGTCAGGTGTCATGTACAACAGCATTAAAGCCCATATTTGTGCTAGCCTGTACCAAGCAGGGTTCCTGTTTTGCCTTCTGACATGTCTCCAATTGCCTGTCGGTCCCTCTCTCCTTCAAATCCCCTCTCCAGCCCACCAGTTGAGAACCTAAATAAATTAACTATGTCTCCTTTGGCACTATCTTGTTTCAGGGAAATAAAATCTTTTGAGAGGATAGATTTGTACATAGCAGAGCCAACATGTCATTAAGCAAGCAGCAGATTTCACACAGAGGTGGAAAATTGGATAGTAAGCATTGCCACCAAGATGGTCTCCTACTCAACTTCACTTGTGTAAATCACTCAGATCAAACATGCAGCTCCTTGGCCCCTCTGCACTTAAAAGAGCATGTGTTATTAGAGTTCCTGTCTTCTCAGATATATGTATATTGGAGTGGTGGGCCCGTCAAGGTTGGATTACCAACCTGGCTAATTCAGTCTCTGACAGACAGATATTTCTCATACACTGAAAATATACAAAATCTACTTCACAGAGATATTCAGGTTTAAATTATACAGGGTTGTACATTTCATCTGTCTTTGTGGACATTTGCACATTGTGAATTTGCAGTATAACTTATAGAAATGAAATCTAAGTACAATGTATACCTTCTATGAAAGAAATGGATTGGGTATCCTCTCCACTCACTCCAAGGCCTAGATATTGTCAAGGACACCAGAACAAATACATCTGTGATGTCAATCTTTCTTGCTGTCATGTTCAAAAAGTTAAGACAGAAAGCACCTTTGAACTTAGAGAGATGGAATAGTATCAGTGGATTTATCTTTCCTAAACAACCCTCCCTCTTCTTTTTCAGAGGAAAGTAAATTTGTAGAAATAGACAAAGCAAATTCTGCATATGCAGCTCAGCGTGAACACCTCGCCCTGATTCAGAGACTGTCTCGTTCAGAGAATGTGCTCTATGGAGCAAACCTGGAAAATGTTTCTGTTGGGATGATGAGCAAATCTTGTGATAACCTCAATGTGGAAACCAACAACAGGACTAGAGACAAAAGCAATCTTGACAGGTACGTTGTTTTCTTTTCCCTCTAAATGAGTGTAAGAACACTCAGTCACAGACTGTATCATTGCAAACCTTTATGGTAAACTGTGAGACAGACTTTTTTTTTGCAGTCTTTTTTGTGGTCACACCAAAATGCCTGGGGCTCCATGGTGCTATAAGTAGTGCAAACACAGGCAGGAAGCTAACAGTCTACAGATACGAACTTGAAAGAGAATGACATTTAAATTTGTACCAGACTCAGGAATGAACCACTTACTAGGTTATAGAGAAAGACAAAAATAAGGGAGAATAAAAGTAAAATCTGTAATGTCTGTGTATCTTCTCTGGAAATGACAATATATGACCTGAATGCACAATGGAAGCTGGTTTTGACTAGTTCTTACCTAATTGATTCCTTCATATCTGAAGTTGAAAATCATAAAGAACAATGCAAGAACTTCTCCCATTTTGTCTGCATTGGTACATTTACAAGTGTAGGCGGTTACTATAGCTGTACCCAGTTTCAAGACCTTTGATGAATTCTGGAACCTTTTAGAATACTAAGTGTTGGAATAGAGCCAAGAAGAACATGAACTATCAGGAAAACTTTCAGATGTGGTTTTGTATAAATGGACAGCAGGGCTAAATGAATCATGCTGTGGCTATGCCATATTTTCCTGATGTCTGCACTCAGCTCAAAGAAAAATGCAGGGGGAAATCAGTCATGATGTGAATGGTCTAATGACAGCTGTTATTTGGAAGCAAATGCTGTCAAGGATAAACTACCTCTCCCTTACAATGAAATGTGGCCCATAAATCAGAATACTCATTGAAAGGCTATAAATACGTGCATTCTCAACTCAGTTCTATAATGCAGTCTTCATTTCCTGCCGTGCAGATATACCTCGGGGCTACCTCAGTCAGAAATGCACATCAATTTGAATGGAAAGCAAAGGAGTTATGACTACCTCTCTATACATTCAACTCAGAACACAATCAGTGGTGAGTATAATAATCATAGAGGCAGTACCCTTCCATCTTAATTGTTTCAATAGCAAGAGCCCAAAATATATTCTACTTACAGATTAAATAATATCCTTTTGCATTTCCAGTCCTGGGAATTAACCCAGAGTTTAGCAAGACAAGCTCTCTTCTTCCCTTTCACTCCTACTTTCCATTATGATCAGTGGTAAGGGACTTCATGATAAAATTGTTCTGTCAGTGGTACCTAAAGCTCTTCAGAGCTGTACACCCAGGACTCTTGCATAAGGCAATATCCCTGTGCTCAGTGGTCATTGTCTGGTTTGCAACTGAGACCTACAACTCAATGAACAATGCATGAGACAACATAAGCCTTCCTCTACTTGCACGACACTAACCGGAATAAGAACTGGACACCTAATTATTTAACAAGCCATATTGCATCAACACAGTGGGCAGATCTATGGAATATGAAGCTATGATTATTTGATTAATCCATTTTAAGCTTAGAACTATACTTTGAACACACTGGGGCAATTACACAATGTTAAGTAGCATCAACACTACAAAACAATCAGTGCTGACTGGATAGCACCTACAGAGACAAAAGGACCCACAGGGTCAAACGCTAGTGTTTCCAAAGGAACCCATAGGAGATTTTGTGTCCAAATTACCCTCATGTTCAATTGGCGTTACATGCCTGACTATTTAGATAACCTAATCTTAAAACTTTGCAGATAAATGCATCATCTCCCAGAAAGGAACATTATAGGAATAGCTTACAAAGCTACTGTACATACACTTTTCTAAAGAATGCAGATTTCCAAACACTTGTTTGAGTTTACTTTCTGAATTAATGGTAATGTTGAAAACAAGGACAAAATGTGGTTTTAATTTTTGAAGCCTCAGTTTTGCATACTACATGAATCTACTGTCTTCCTGCATTAACCTGCATTTATTCTAGCTGTTTTGTTTCTGCAGCACCCGGATCACCAGCCATCCAAAAAGAAGCTTTCCTAAGTGGTGTAGAAAGAGAAATCATTTGTGTCAGACTAAAACGTGACCCTAAGAATGGATTTGGTAAGTAAGGAACATCAATGTTATGCTTGTTACTGGGACTATCAGTTCTTGGTGCTTACACTAATAGTTGCAGACTCAAGTTGGATGAAATTGTAACCTTATTCACCTCATTTATTCTTATAGAATAAGACTACCAGTCTTTGTGAAGGACTTAGAATTTCTGAAACTGAAAAGGACTAAGCACATAAATCAAGACCACAGTTTTTTTCAGAGGATTAACTAAGGCCACTGAGGTGAAGGGAACCAAGTGCTAAGAGTAGGAAGAAGATAACAAGGGTCTAGTTTTGTATCTAAAATACACATGCAGTGATTTTGTTTACCTTAGACCTTAGACAAGGGGAGATGATGTTCTGAAAACCTTTCAGGTATTGCCTGTGGGGATGCAAAATGTGTACACAAGTTTAACATGAACTTTTCCCAACTTTTGGATTCTTATTTTGGATAACAGTTTTGATATACACTATTACACTGTAACCTGTTCTTGTGGATGAGTTCAGAAGACCATCAGGTTTCACAGCTGACCATTAATACAATTAAACATCAGATTTCTAAATGGTGCAGGTCTCTGTGGAATATCCCGATCCCAAACACAACTATTCTATCAGTGAGAAGAATGTATTCTGCAACAGGCAGAATATTCTGAGCTAGGATAGTGAAATTGAACTGCCTGACAAGAGATTTAATTTTCTTAGATATCTCCTACATATCCGTTAGAAATTTACATCGCCCATCTCAGGGGCTCTAGACTACATGATGTAGAACAATGTTCAAATTTGCCTAAAGAGCTTTTTTACCATTTTCCTCCCGCAGATGTTAATTACTAAGGTCTACACATAGTTTATGACTCTTGTAAGAAAGTAGTTGGAATATTTAAAAGTTTCAAGCTAGGAAAGTATTCTTATTGAGAAATTATATTTTAAAAGCCACCAAAGTCACCAGAACACTTTAATTATAATGTGAGTTTAAAGCTCTACCAAATCAAGAACTTGATGCCATGTAAAACAGAACTCCCCATTCTCCAGACCAAGCATTAAACTTATGCCATTGGACTAAGAGCCTTTTGTGCTCCTAAGGTTCATCTTTTCAAATACTGCCAGTGTCTCTGCATTCTCATGCTATCTCATTTTTACAGGTTTTGTAATTATTGGTGGAGAAAATGTAGGAAAATTAGACCTCGGAATCTTTATCGCTTCAATTATTCCTGGGGGACCTGCAGACAGAGCTGGAAATATCAAATCAGGTCATTGTCCTTAGTTTTTAATTGGAATTAAAATACTTTCATGGTTTAAAGTTAGCTACTCTGAATTTATTTCCTTATTTAGAGGTGCTTTGTCTTGTTTTAATCCTTTTATTTTTTTAAGGAGGACGACTCATCTCTGTGAATAATATTAGTCTCGAGGGCATTTCATTTAATACTGCAGTTAAAATCATACAGAATTCTCCCGATGAAGTGGACCTCATCATCTCTCAAACCAAAGGTATAAAGTCAAATGCCTTTGCTGGCTATGGAATGTTAATAGTTTACTCAGAACACTGGTATTTATTAGGCACTGGGATGTAGTAATAATTTCTTGCTACTCAATGGCAGTTATAATAACTATAGGCTAGCAGTGAAAGTAGTCAGCTTCTAGTAGGTATCATGTAATCTCTGTTCTATAGTCACTGTGAAAAAATCTATTAAGGGCTGCATTGCTGAATACCGAGATAATTTTGGCATTTCTTTCTCTAATAGAGTCATATTCCTCTGCAGTGATGAAGCAAACACATTTCTCCACACTTACAATAGCAGCGCTCTATTTTACAATGACTGACTCATTTTATAGATCTGATTTCACAACAAGTTGATGTAGGAAGCTACCTTGTCCTCCTGTGCTGAGGTATAATAAAATTTGCCTTCAAGTTTACTTACTGTTTGCATTCAGCAATGTTTTATTTTGGTATGGCTTTACAGACATATATGAAGAAGGGTTACATGAAGAAAAGAATCTATCAAGAGGAAACAGCACTAGTGGATCTGAGATCTCTTGTGTAGACAGTGGGAGAAAAAAGATTCAGGATCATCATACAGCTCTCCCCAAAGAAGAGGACGTAAATATAGATGAACTTGAAAAGGCACCAAAATGGGGCCCTACGATTACAGTTCCTTCAGCTGATAGTCTGGATGTGGGGGTAACTGAGATTTTGATGCTGTTCAGTAATATTATGCCCAGCATGTGTCTTAACAACATTCCAGATATATTGAGAACGGAAAGTAACCAAGAAATTTAAAAAAATAGGAAAGGAGAAAGAAAACCTTGGAAGATGTTGCTTATTAAATTACATTGGAAATGTCAAAATGATAGAAACGTCTAGAATATATGAAAAAATGAGGAAACCATTCCACAAAATGTTATTAAAAATTTTCCTCCATTTTCCAATGGAGGTAGAAAATTTTGATTATTTTCAAGCAACCTCTTTTCAACCAGACACAGAACGGCAACATTGTGTCTAATTTCCCACTATTAGACAGCCTTCCTATCTATACTCATCATATGCACATTTAGATAGATTATATTTTAAGTAATGTTAGCCTAAACTTGAAATAATGTCAGGGGTATAAATGATACCACTCCAGGCTTATAGAGACAGGAGGATCAAACCCTATGTATCTTCTGGATACTCTCTCTTATTTTTTTTTTTCCTTCCTTTCCCCGCACCCCTCCCAGCCCCCCTAACCCCCTGCCCTTTATTGAGATGTTGCAGTCTCATTAGTGTTTATATTTTTGAGACAGGAAGCTGATTCTTCACACTTACCATCTCCATCTGAAACCAACTCAAAAGAAATCTATACTGTGGAGCTTGTTAAAGAAGATGGGACTTTTGGAATCAGTGTGACTGCAAGTGTTACTGTTAATCTTTCAGTGTGTCTGTCAAACTGTTACATGACCAAGAAACACATAGAAAACTGTATTTATGTGGAAAAAAAGATAGAAAATAGGCTGATAACAAAAACTGTTAGTGTGGCATGTTTCAAACCTAAGTGTCCAACTAATAGACAGAGAAAGCATAAAGTACTGGCTCTGCTCATTTCCCCGTTCTCACCCGCAGAATCTGTGAAAGAACTGTGCCGACATAACACACATGGCAGAACAAGACCTACCACTGAAATTGGAGTTTGGTCAGGGAGGGATATAGCCAGAGCCTCTAGAAAATGCAGTGATGCAAAGAATTCTCCAAGTCATGATGGGTTTTGCTGCTCCCCTGGGGCTCCTGGAACTCAAAGGGTGTACAAGCAGATTACACAGGACCATGGATGGCATGGGCTCAAGCAGTGGCCCACAGGCCCCGAATATGGCTTTGGCTTGTGCCTCAACAAGCAGTATAACAGAAGCCATCCCACGCTGAGGGGCTGAAAGTTTAGATGTGGACTCAAGATATGCCATGATTCTTACTCTGAAGACCCGAGAAAGGACCCTAGACAATTTTATTTCCTAGCATAAGGAAGTACAGTTCTCCATGCATTTAGAGGACCAGAGAAGTCAGCAATGAAAACTATCTGCAACATTTGAATAATAATTTCTTGTCCTGGATATCAAAGTTGAATTTATCCCTCCAGGCTGAGATGTCTTTACAGTCCTTGCTGAAATGGAGTGGAAAGCAACAGCCATTTCATTGCCTGCAAAAGAAAATTAAGGGCTGTTTTTTCCTTCTTCATCTGAATTTGGCCAGGGGATGTAGATGGACAGAACATGATTCTTAGGTTAATCTGGAATTCCTCTGAGCTGTAGGCTCTCAAGGGGCTGCACAAGTTCAGCTCCATGCTTTATATATTTTCTGAAAGGTTAATTACTAAATGGATATTGCATAGTTTGGAAACTGGGCTAGAGACTGACTGAAAGATACAACCCCATCTTTGTGTTAGCATAGGGAAAAATTTAAGAACATTTAGTAAGCGTTTTTATATAACCACGTAGAAATTAATTGCATTTTCCTAGAAAATAAAACAAGATTACTACATAGAGAAGTACATTACAACTAGATGGGACTTTGGAGTAACATCCTCTTTCCTTTTTTTCCTATATTTTAAAAAAATGTAATTCCTGAAGCAGTTGCTTTGCAATGTATGTGTAAGTAGCTTTGATTTTTATCACAAGAAGGACACGTGAAGACTCCACTCTAAACTGCACGCATATGTTTTGCAGGGTGGAATAAACACTAGTGTGCGTCACGGTGGGATATATGTGAAGTCAATTATCCCCAGGGGACCAGCAGATAAGGATGGACAAATAAAGATAGGTAACATGTCTGGCAATAAAATTCTGGGCTGAAGAACAAAATGTGAGTGTGGAATACTTGTCACAAGGACAATGAAACACATTTGAGATTGGAGGTCATACAACTGTGAAACGTAATACGCAGCCTGTCATTCCTCATTCTGTCCCTGTGCTACGTGTAGATATCCCACCAAAAAACCCCAGGAGGCTCATACCAACATTGTACATCTACTCTCTGTAGCTGCACATCAGGCTAGTGACTCTGACACCTACTTTCGGTGTCGCTATGATAACCAGATACTATCACTGCATGTACTTGCAGAATACCCTGGTATGTTTTAAGTGCTAATTATAGAATGCTGTACAAGCAGTATTGCTTTCATATAGAGTAACATAATTTGACATATGTAAGCATGAAGATCTATTGCAACATGGGTAGCCTCAAGGTTTACACCCACTGAACTTGAACATCAGAGCAGCTTGACCCTTTTTGTTGTTTGTTTACTTGTTTGTTTTCTTTTGCCTCAGGTGATCATCTGCTAGAAGTAGATGGCATCAGCCTCTGCGGCATCACCCACAAACAGGCTGTGGAACACCTTAAGAAATCTGGCCAGGTTTGTACAACAACAGAGCTCAATAAGATACCCAGTAGAATAAACTGCACTTAGTATAAAGCACAGTAGCAAAGCTGGGCCAAAAGAAACTTCCCGCCAACACCATGCAACCTCACTCTGTTAAAAAAAAAAAAGTAAGAACACTTAGGGCTCACTGTGTACTGTGTAACTGGAACCTGTTCATCATTGTTTTAGATTGCCAAGCTGGTTCTAGAAAGGGGAAACTACCGATTGCCAGAGCCATGCCTGGCTGCTAATGGCAGAAAGGAGAATCAATGTGCAGTTGTTTCTGTGGCAACATCCTTCACAGATGGTACCAAGGACTACTGCTTTTTGACAGATGGTGAGCAATAAAAAAATAACTCAGGATAACTTCTTACAATGTGCAAGAAAGGAATGAATGAAAATACTTCTATGAAATTTCTGTGGGTTGGAAGGAAAACTGCATGCTGAATAAAAATATGTGCAATATTAATGGCATTATCAAAAATTAATTCTGAACAAAATATTTCTGATGTACTTAGAGTTCCAGTTGCTAGATACAGCTGAATTTATCCTAGGCATAAATACTGTATCTCTCAGCCTTCATGAGATGGGCCTGGCAGGGGACATCCCTGTCAGGAAGCAGCTGGGTTGATGCTGACAGCCTGTTACCCAAAGAGAGCACTGCCAGCTCAACTGCTGATGCTGTGTCAGTGATGAGGCGAGGGTGAACTGCTGCCCCAGGGCCAGGACTGGAGACTGGCATCACTTCATTTCTTAAAAGCAGAAGATTCAGAGATCACTTTCACTGAATTTAGCCAACAAATAAATGCTGTATCTTTTACTGTAAGGCTGTCTCATAAACAGTAAGTCTGAACCATACTTTTCCATGGGGCAGTTACTTCTCTACATTGTCCCTAGCAGTATGGGGTTCAGCTGCCAGTATGGTATTTGAGAAAGGGCAGGTCTCTTCTTCTTGCCTGGAAAGAGCAGTAGCTTTGATTCTAGTTTATGCTGGTTAGTGCAGGACCTAAATTAACATCAGGCAGCCACAGAATAGTAAGATCTACCCAACATGTACAGAAGAATGTCAGAAAAGTATAGCATTTGAATCTTTTTATGTTGGTACAAAAGGCTTCTTCCTTTATGGGCTTGTACCAGATGGCATAAAGTCTGTGAGCACATGGTGGAATAGAATCCAGTTCTCCCCATTCTGCTCGTGTGACTTCAAGGGCTCATTTAAGTTAAGATAACAGCAAACCCCTCTTTTGCCATTAGTATCAGTAGATCTACTGCTGCAGCATACAGATAAAAAGGTCTGCTGAGGGTATAATTTCCATCAGCTCCTTAGTGGGTACATATGGCATGGTTCCTACCCTTTTTCTAATCCCTGCTTTGAACAGATAATACATTTGAAGTCAAATTGACAAAGAATTCTGGAGGCCTCGGCTTTAGTGTTCTGCAAATGGAAGGAGATGCTTGCAAACACCTTGAAGGAGCTATTTTCAGGATCAAAAGACTGTTTCCAGGGCAGCCAGCTGAAGAGAATGGCAAAATTGAAGTCGGAGATATCATTTTAGCTGTGAATGGGAAACCTATTCAAGGACTCTTGTATCAGGTACCAGGCAGTACTATCACTGGGACTCCAGATGGGTAACCTGTTAATAAAGACAATGGAATGAAACTGCATTTAAACTTAATTATCACCAGAGGGAGTCAGAATTTTCATATAAAGAATCTGACTTCTGTTTAGGATTCTTCTCTAGAATTCTTATGGAAAATTCCCTTCCTAACAGAATACTTACAGAGAGTTTCTTCAACTATTTAATTTGTAACTTTCTCTAATGATGCACAAAGCCTATTGTTAGATGCATGCAAGTTGTTAATTAGTTGGAATCTTTGTTGCTGTTATGCATAATTTGAATATTTTTTCTGTTATCATTTGTGCTTTGTAATGTTGTGCTAAATACTATGCCCTAGATTCAAATCTCTACCCGGTGAGGTAAATCCAGAGTAACATTTTTCTTCAGGAATGAGAAATTCTATGCTCACATGAAGAAATTAAGTGGTAAAAAAGGACTACATGTGTATTTATTCTTTTCAATGTAATGTTGTCACCTTATGAAAAATCCCTGAGTTTTGTATATGAATATACATTGAATAGATAAGATTGGTAACATACAGAAATTATGAAATAATGCAATTTTTCCACTGACAGGTCATTCATATTATTAAATAGCTAGGGCAAAAGACAAGCTACTGTAAGTCTTAGACACCTGGGAGGAGGGGAGCAGGGGAAAGGCAATGTGCTGCAATTGTACTCACTTTTTTTTTTTTTTTTTTTTTGACCTGGAGTCTGCCTTTTTCCAGCACTGTCTTGCTCTGACACACAGCCCTTTTACCTAGTCTGTGCAGAGGGGCAGACAGGGTGTTTTGGCCTACAGCATTCTTTTTTTTTCCCCCCTCTAGATTAAGCATTTAATCTCCCACTGTAGTTGAAAGCTTGATACCACTGTATAGATGCTATGTCAAGGAGGAGCATTGAGAAGGTCTCCATTTAGTTATGTCAATATGGCAGCCTGTGGAGCTATGATGATATAATTGACTGAAGATGTGTCCCTGCCACATGCAGTTTGAATCAATTTGTCTGAAAATTCTGTTTTCTTCAAGAAAATAAAAAGAATTAATTTAAACCTAGGTGTTGGTGGAACAAAAGCTTGTAAACAGAACTGACTACTTTAGATAGACATTCACATAAAAACTATGGTCCACTTATATGACAATCATACGGTAGTGAATTTTGGCTCCCAGACACTGCTGAGAGGCACAAATACTAGGAATTTGGGATTCACAATAAAAATTGTCTCCATCCCAGCTGCTAAAATGATATGTACTATAGACTGTGTTCCATAAGAAGTCTAACATTCCTTCTTCCTGCTTAGGATGTCCTCCACTTGTTGAGAGGAGCTCCTCTAGAAGTCACACTACTACTTTGCAGACCACCAAAAGGTGTTCTTCCAGAAATAGAGCAGAGTGCCCTGGTAAGGCAAAGCTTCTGTCAGCAAACTTTCTTATGTCAACCTGGAAAAACACTTCTACATTTTCTATCCAGTCTTGAATGAGGCAACATTCCCTTTTATTCAAGGCCCTGTATTCCTTTTCTTTTCTTTCTTGGCTTCAACTCAAGCTCTAAGGTTCAACTGATTCTTCCTTAAAAAACAAAATAATAAAAATCTGACAGATGTGAAACATGTTTATCCTGGTCCAACAGTTTTTGTATTGTAGCACTGTCATTGGAGTGAAACAGTACATACCCAAGAAGATCTTCTAGTGATGCTTCTAAAAATGCTTTACTAGATCCTCAGCCAGAAACTGCAGATATTCTCAACTGCAGCTATATGATAACTTGTGGGCTTGAGGTAGCTATATTACTCCCAAAAGTGAGAGAAAAATAAAGAACTTTTCCTATCCAGGCTTCCTCTCAATAAACTTAAATAAATGATATAATGGTTTCAACCAGTTATTCAGCTTCATATTGATAGCAGAATCTGCAGGGGGGAAAAAACCACAAACAAAAAACCCCCAAACCAAACAGTAGAGACTGCAGAGTCTAAAACAGTGCCATTAGGTGTGATAGCATTATTATTCCTGCTTCTTGAACACAACTCAGGGACACATACACAAGTACTCTTATAATGAGCATGCATTTGCATTGCTCTTGCTCCATGTAAAATGACCCACTTACAGTTCTTGTCCCACCACGACTTAAAAGGGTTGTCCATGGACAGACAGAAATGACTGTCAGGTCCATCTCCAGATAACAAACTGGCTCCAGTTGCTCTCCTGCAATGTGCCCTTGGCCAATTTCTATGGTTAGTCACACAGGAGTCAAATTTGGAAGCCACGTCTATACAATGAAGAGAATATAGACACAAAGTTGAGGCATGATATGAACAGAAATAAAAAGAGGCCATCTGTAGCAAAGAATTCATTGGGAAAATTGAACTTGTGTAGTAGTTTCATGGCTGGAACTCCTAAAGAATGTGAAAGATAAGCATAAAGACAAAACAGTTATTTAGTGAGAGAGTACCTCCCTCTATTGTTTCCCTCCCTTCCAGCTACTATTTGATATTTTCACATTCAGACGCTTACTGATATTGTGTCTTCAGATTATTTTGTTCCTAAAGCAAAGGAGGTAGGAGATAAAAAAGGTGTTACACTAACCTTTCTGTTATTTTGATAGACTCCAGCACCATCTCCAATTAAGGAATTTGTGACAGAAACACCAGGCAGAACAGAGGTAGGAAATAGTATGGATCAGTCTACCACTGATGGACGCAACACCTCTCCAGACCTCAAAGACTGCCTGGATTCTCCAGTGGCAGCAGATTTCAGTGAGCCTCCTGAAGAGAACACCTCAATTTATGAAGAACAGGAAGCTGAGTTTCAAGAAAAGACCATACAGAAAGTTACGACTCCCAGTGAAAGTTGCTATAAACATCTTTGGAAGTTTCATCGAGAAGCTGCTAGTTCTGAAGTCTTGCACTCCTTAGAGGAAGAAATGAAGCAGAACTGCTACTCACCATGTGAATTTGAATGGGCCAAAAGGTAGGAAATATTGAAATTTGCTCTGCAGACTTTCCTTTGGCTCTTAGAATTTTGAAAGTAAATTGCTTAGGTTTAAACACAGGGCTATCTGCTTCTAATCACTGCTGATTACTGAAGATTTTCTTTTACTATCTTATTTTGACTATCCTAATCTGTTGTCTCTATTTACTCTCATCTTAATAGAATTTTGAGTAAGTCTTAATTGTAAGACAGTTTTATGAGTGCTGCACTATTTTAATCATTTATGCCGTTCAGCTGAAGCTGGCTGCAATTTGAAATTGGTGGAAAGACCTTTGTTCACTTAAATAGGAACCAAAGACTCTCTTATTTATTATATTATCTTTTCCTCAAAGCTGACTTAAACAGGCACTAAAAATTTCTTTCTTATTGTATGATATTTTAGTTTCAAATTTTTTCAGAGAAAATAAAAAAACCTCAGAAGACAGACTGTGATCAAGGAGCAAAACAATAAAGTTATTTTTCTGTCTTCAGAAGCCAATAGAAGCCCTGAGCCAGAGGAGTCATACAATAGAATACAGTGCAAATGGACTCAGCCTCTTTTTACACTCTTTTGGATATACCAGACACTGGCACACAGAAGACAATCTGTTCCATTTTAATCATCTTTCCCAGTACAAAGGAATATAAATTATTGGAATAGAAAGGATTGGTGGAAAGACATATTGCAGCTTTAGTATTTTTATCTAGAAACTAATTTCTATTTTTCAACACAGTCACTTGAAATCCTTTTGTTACTCTTGACATTCATCAAGCACAGAACCAGGCAGTCAGAGATTCCAGTCTCTGGGAAGTCACAGCACTAGCTGACTGTAAGTCAAGTGGGGACATAAGGGCAATTCATACATTTAGCTCCTTTCTCTTTAGAGAAGAAGCTTCACTCACATTTATGGGTAAAGCTCCTGCTTATGTATATGCTTCTCTACTGCTAAGAATAAAACCAGCAGAAATATGTCTTCAACAAACATATTTGCCAAGAGATACAGCTTCAACAAAACTAAGTTTATTCTGGAAAAATATAAATTCCAATATAAGTTTTGGATTCTTCCCAAGAAGGAAGTTCTGAAATAAATATTTTTGTTTGGTACATTCTCAGTATCATTTAATTTCAGATTTTGCATTTTCAAAAGGCAGCCAGAGCAGTTTAAGACAGCATGTATTTTAAATGTAATCTCAGTTTAAATGATCTTTCCAACTAAAAACATACAAAAAACCCCCAGAAGGAAATTGACATCAATTGCTTTTCATCAGAATCCTCAAAACTTTTAATGCAAATGTAGAAATTTTCTGATATGAATTTTAAAAGTTCTCTGCTCAGGGTTTCACATGGAAAATTCCTTTTACTCTTCTCATCACTACCAATAAGAACCTTTGAAAAACTTTAACTCATAGTTTTCCCCTGTGAAGTTCAGGTGCAGGGGTCACAAGACTCCAAAAGAAAGTCAAGCAAGTCAGTGGACCTCGTGTATGGGCCTGCAGGACCAAGGCTCATGTTATTTCCCATGGTGATGTAGAGATGGGCTAGAAGCTGTGCTATGATTAAGCCACTGCTGGCTCATTGTCTTGAGCTTGTGTAGCTCTGCCAAAAAGCTTACATATCGTTTGAAGGTCAGTCAGCACTCCACTAGCCGTGACAGCTTCTATGACACAGACATTGAGCAATGACCATTGAACTTCCTCTTGTTCCCTGTCTCCAACAGAAAGGAGCAGAATGCATTTTGTGTTATCCTTAAACATTTCTTTTTAATTATCCCAGTCTTCTTCCACAGTATTGCAAGCATCTGTTATCCATCTATTAAAGCACAAACTGTCAGCTTCATTCTCAGCTTTGCTGTGCTACTGGAGATGGCCAACTTCACATTTCCTCCCTGCACAGATATAAGCTATCAGACTAGACTGCTTCCATCACTGAGGGGATACTGCATGACCCAACAAATTTTTCTTATTTTCATAATTTTTTCAAAAGTACCATCAAAGGCTCCTAGCTATATTCAACCAAAATGCCTGTTTTGCTACTGTGCTTTATATTTTCCTTCTGACTATATACAGCTTTTGAAACAAGAGTTTAACACTGGGGATCTTCTGTGATTTCATACAAGACATGCAGTTTGTGTTCTTTTTAGTCGTATACATTCGCTTGAGAGGTGGTAGACACAGTTCAGTTCTATCAGAGAGGAAAATGTCCTAGGCAACTTATATATGAAATGATAGAGCAACTTTGCTATGTGAAGAATTAATGAAAGCTATGCCATTTTAAGTGTTTTTAAGATGAATGAGGTTTAGCAATATTGCTATAAAGATTGATATGAATAAAATGCATACTTTTGAAAAAGATGTGTTTCAAGCATTTCTATTACATTTAATGGTAAATTTAATGGGAGAAAATGTTATAGTAGTCTATTAGAATTCGTTAATGACAACAGCCAAAACAATATATAAACACAACACATACGATTATGGTCTGGGCTTGAACATCAAAAGTGATGAATATTGTGTCTCCAATATAGTCAATAATAATTTTAATTCAAGTAATTGAACAAATCCATTGATTTTTGTAGGACAACTCATGCTTCAAGGCAATCATAAGAATAAAAGCAAGCTTACAATGTCAGGACTTGATTAATGGAGAGACAGGAATCATTTTATATTTCATGTGTCTGGTCTGTGTTCTAGCTACCAAAGAAAGACCTGTAAGAGCCAGGAAAGTGGCAGGCATTCCCTTTTCAAGAAAAATGCAAATATTAAAATTGTAATAGTATTGTAATGTGCATATCGCTTACCTGATAAGTTAAGTTGGTTCTGGTAGATGAAATAATTAATGGTCTAGGTATTGTCCAATTATTCTTTTCAAGAAGCAACCAAAATACTAATTAATGCCTTAAAAAAACAGAGTGTCAGATTTGCAAAGGCTGTTTTCAAATTCTGAAATCTTTTAAATCTTTTGACTAGCTTTGCAAAATATTGCTGATTTATTTATCTTTATAGCAACATTGGACCCAGACAGAAATCTAACATGATAACTAGTACTTAAAATTAAATAAAAGTTAAAATTAAAATAAGGTCATATATAAGCAGTAGACTTTTCAGTGGCCATATAATAAAGCATATGGAGGAAAACCATAGCACTGCAAACCTTTTTTTTCTTTCAAGCTGCATATTTAATAAGAGTGATGATGACCTATCAAACACAAAATGTATGCCTGAAACTCTCTCTCTAACACCTACTGATGAAGAGTATCTCACTGTCAGCTCGACCTCTGTGATCCCACTTTCACGAGGAGGAAGCTCCGAGACACTCTCCACAACAATGGTGACCCCACAACCACGTGTCTATGGTCCCTTCTCATCATCCCTGCCTGCTAGAGAGATACATGGCAGTGACAATGAATGGGAAGACTTGGAGGAACTAGAGGAAGACAAGGAAGAAAAGGAAGATTGCACTAGGGTATGTGATAGGCACCAGATTATTAACAAGTAGAATGTGACAAAGGAAAAGAAATAACTTTAAGAATACAACATGCTTAAACAATTTTTACTCATTATTTATGCTATTTCTTCATGGCTTTTTTTACTTTCCTGAATGTCCACAATCTTCAAGTAAAGCAGACTTTCTGCTATGTCCAGGTCTCTAGAATTCTCTACCATTTGCCTGAAGGCCATCTCCTTGCTCTTGCCATATTAGTATTTCTTCAGCTTTCCAGCATTCTGCAGTGTTATTCCCAGTGTACAAACACCTAAAATCCCCCTAGTAGCCTCTAAAATTAATTGGAGTCACCTACTTCTGTTTTTTTTTTTTTTTTGTCATGTTTTAAACCCATGTGGAAAATCACTTTGTTACACTGATACTACTGTAATGTCCTGATAAGAAAGTATGATCCTTGTGCTAATTACTATTCAAAATATAAGGCTCAGTCCTGCCAAAGGCTGAACATCTTGCATTCCTGCTGACAGTAATGAGCTCTTAATTCCTACTACTCTGAGAGCACCAAGGACAAAATTCAGCTCCAGCCATTTCCTTCAGTGGGTCAGCAATTGCAATAACAACAGTAATCTCTGCAGCCTACTATTGTAATGCTTGCCAGTACAGAGGACTCCAAGCCTTTCTTTACATATTTCTAATGTGTGAAGTCCAAAGTTTCAGGCCCTATCAATCAATCACCATGAAGATCCATGAGGTAAAAAGAATTAAAATTAATTCTGGAATAAGGTAGTAACAGATCAGATAAACCCTGATGTATGCTCTTATTTATATGATCTAAGGATCTGATTCCTATCTGCATATAAAACATAATGGAAAATGTTAATGAAGCAACAGAAAAGTCTACAACAAACATATTTTGTGTTTATTTTAATAGGAAATGGAGATCTTTGTGACTTTGACAAAGTCAGAGAACAATGGTTATGGATTCTCTGTAGTTCTTAACAAAGTGGACACCTGCTTGTATGTTGATGAAATCTTGAATGAGCCTGCCCTGTCTGATGGAAGATTAAGAAAGGGAGACAAAATCATTATGGTACAATAATTATTTGAGTTTATACAGAGGAGAAAATATTTGCAGATCAATGTCATTTAGCTTCGACATTCTTCCTTTCATAGGGTCCAGTTTATCACATATTTAGGCATGTACATACAAATGAATCATATAATAAATGTAATTCTGCTGACTTCAGTAGGACAGATTTCAGACTGAATAGATTGTATGACCAGGCAAATAACATTAATCATCTAGCAGCAATGCAAGACAACTGAGACATTAAATGCCTTCCCAATTAAATAACATAAACTGAATTAATGTAATAAGATAGGTGACCTACAAAGGATGCAGGAGTTATGTCCTTTGCAGTATATGAATAAAGCCTGGTTTCAGCTTGGTTCATCTTCAATTTGTTGCATTAGACTATCTTCCTTGTTTTTTGTTACAAGACCTTGAGTTTCAGGAAAAAAAAGAGCTATTCTTATGAAAGCTCTATATTCAGAAAAATAAAAGTTCAAAAAACAAATATTACTGCAATCTTAACTGTTGCATTCACTAACATTAAATACCACAGCAAAGCAGTAACATGAAAGTTCATATGGAAAATTCAGAGTGGAGGAAGAAGTACATAGTGGTCAATGAGATCTATGACATCATTTTACTGGTTTGTCATTTAGGTGAATGGGATTAACGTCACATCTCTACCATGCAATGAAGCCCTGACTTTACTGCAGAGTTCTCCTCCTGATCTGCACCTTGTGGTTTGTCGTGCTGACAGTGGTCCATGTCCCTCTATCAGGCCAGATGAGATTCCTGAGATTACTCTCACAAAAGGTGCCAATGGACAGCTAGGTGTGTGTAGTAAATACTATGCATGTTATTTTGGACAGGGATTACAGTAGTCATTAGATAATCATAAGCAACTGTGTGGTCTTGGATCAATATGATCCTGAGTGACCTTGACACCTTTATGTTCTCCTCCATTGCCCACGACCATGGAACAGAGAGCTTTACTTTGGGCAACTCCTTAAAGTTGAAGACTCAGATCTCTCATAAGAAGACAACTAGTATCTCTTATTAGACCAATTAAGTTAGTGGGAAAACAGTCTTTGTATTATTACCCTATCAGATGAAGTTTCTGGCAGATCTCCACTCTCATCTTTTTATGCTATTGGTACACAGATTTTGTTGGTAGTTAGATAATGATGTCTACTATCTACTGAGATACATAAAAATCTATTTGGTGGGGGAAAAAAAAAGGCAAAATTTGAGAAGGATGAGCCACTGGTTAGGGCAATAGTTTGCTATTCAAAAAATCTCCACTCAAATCCTTGATTCACCACAGACACAAGGCTACAGCTACACTGTGCAATACACATTCTAAAAGAAATCCCCACAGTGTGAGTATCTTGGTATTTCTGCAGAATGTGGTGAGTACCACACACAGATAAAACTGTAGACTCAGGAAACAGTATAGCTATATTTCCTCAGGTACAGCATCCTGTTTCCAGTTCATAAGCTAGCTTGTTCAGCGATTGCTTGAATATCATTGCACAATTCAGTTTTGCACTGTATAGGCATCCCCTTAGTTGTCATATGCCTCTGTTCCCTACGGCACTCTAAAGACTGAAAGGTACTTAAGCACTCTGGTAATGACAGAGTTACTGCTATGCAGCTAAGTGTCTTATTCAAATGACTATTCAACATCAGGTGAAATAAAGCACTATGGAATAGCTGAAGCATAAAGACGGACAATACAATTTTTTTTTTCCATACTTTTTGAATATTTAATTGCATTTCACTCTTCCAGTCCAGCTCTTATACCCCATCTCACCAGAGCAAGACTGTTATTTATAATCTCAGTGATTTGTTCAGCCTTTCAATGACCCATATCTATTCCATTAGGCTGTATGTCACTGAGAGTGAAAATCAAAACATGCTGCCACAAAAGATGTTTTCTCTGCATTATTCTAGGGTTGAAGCTGACAGGAGGAGCTGGAAGCAAGTTACAAGGTATTTATGTGCTAGAGATAGTCCCTGGCTCTCCTGCCAGTGTGGAAGGCAGTTTGCAGCCACAAGATCAGATTGTTTACATCTGTGGACTGTGGACTGAAGGCTTTAGCTTGGATGATGCAGTGAGAGTGTGTGAAGCTGCCACCCAGAATGTCCAAATCAAAGCCACAAGGTAAATCTGAGCTGACAAAGTAAATCTGAACATACTCAATCTCAATCCTAATGTTGAAGCAAGTTTCTAAAATTTACATCAAGTCAAACAATAAAAACATACAAACTACAAGAAAAATGCTTTACCTCAAAGGTCTGAACACAACACCCTGATACATAACAACCTGATACATAACATCCATAAGGTATCGTAACTCTTTTTAATTACAACTAACACAGTGAGTACAAGTAGAGTCAAACAACACAAATGAGAACTCTTCAAACTCCATCATCCAAACACAAATGTGAATCCTTTAACTGTGAGGCTGTCCACCATTCTCAGATATCTCTAGGGAAAATCTTTAAATCTCCACCACTACTTGTGCCAACCTTCACCATACAATCTCAGATTCACAACAACAGGCAAGAAATTACATCTGATGGGAAATTCTGAGTTACTTCCAACAGCCAAACGTTTTAGAAAGGTATTAAAAATGCAGCATTTAATCTGCAGCATGTAACAAAATGTCATTCCAGTCTTGATCAGTAACGGGCAGTTAAGAATCTCCCTCATCAGTTCTTGGCTGCACTTTAGATTTATTGTGTTCTGCAGTCTAATGTATCACCAGCAGGGGCCCTGGACTGATATAGAAATAGCTTCCAAAGATCTCAGAGTAACAGTCAAATAGTAACCCAAAAGTATGTGAATAACTAAGTTACATAATCAGTGTGAGAGATATTATGTCTGTCACAGCTGTCTTAATGTAGTTCAAACTTTTATCAGTGCTTTATTAACTTGCACTGGTCTAAGCAGATTGAAGAAACAAACTACAGCCTCATTAAGCTTCTTGCTGTACAAGCAGTTAATAGGCAACACACTCTGATTGTAAGAATTTACAATCTAAGGAGACAAACAGAAACAGGGTAAATGAAATTACAAAAGATCATTCCCACTTTCTAGAGGGGGAATCAAAGCTGAATTAAAAATGTACCACAAAGCAGTCCTGTACCGGGACAGATGGTTTATCATGTTCTTTATTTCACCAACCCATAAATAAAATGTTTCATTGTTGCTAAATACAGTAAAATATTTTATATACTGTTACAAATTGTCTTCAGGAAAGCACCATTAACAAAATCATAGAAGTGCAACCACACTTTAGACAAGTGGCTTTCTACAAATATTTTTCATATGTGCTTCACAAAGCATGCAGCTCTTAATGGCTCACATATTTCACTTCTTTTGCCCCCAGAAATGGCAATCCAGTGGTTCCTATAGAGCAGGAAAATAGTAAGTAAGGTTAATATTTTTGGTTTTTAGTTCAAAACTTGCTTCTGATTTTGGAAATAAGCATAAGGTATTGATTCATTGCATTTAAAAAGTTATGAACAGATTGTAACTTCGCATTCAGCATTTCTGTTATGGCCATTCTAAGGGTCTGAAGAAAATTTGGTAGCTCTTTAAAGATAGAAATAAAATATATACTTCTCTGTAAAAACAGTATTTATTTCATTTTGCATAGTCAGTTTCTATTTTTTAAATTAGTTGCTATTAAATTGGAATTTTATGTGGTCATATTTCAACATCTGTTTTGATTGAAGCTATTCTCTACAGGGTTTTCCAGCACATTTTGAGCCACTATTTAATATGAGCCACTACTTCATCATCTAGAACAACTTTTTAAACTATTATCAATAAACCTGTAGAAAAACAGAAACAGACAGCACCAATATCCCTTACTTAGTATAAAAGCATTCCTATCAGGGGACAATATTTAATACTATAACTGACACAAAATTTCAGTAATCTTCTCCACTACAAAGACTTGACCAGCATCGCTCTAGCAGTAGAAGGAGTCTCAGCAAGCAGAGGTTGCATCTGCACCATCAGGTGGAAGGAAAGGTACCATGTTTATGTCACTGCATAGAAAGTGTGTTAGCTATGCAAGTAACACTTTCCTTTGTACATTTGGCTGGAGTGTTAAGTCAGGCCCGACCCACAGTTTCATTTACCTGACTGGATATCTGAATTTTTTTAATCATGAAAAGATGACCTGAAAAAGTAACTCTGGGCCAGAATTGCTCGTATGCCTATACTCATCTGAATACCGGCATATGGGTATCTGAGGAAGTTATTCCAAGTCAAGCTAGTTACAGATTTCCTACTCTACTACAACTAGCCATGTGTTGTAAACTGAAGCAGCTTATTTCGCTTACTGAAAAATCAGCTTCTTTGAATTTACTACAAGACACAGATAAATTTATGTGTACTCTCTGTTACTGTGGTATAACTAAAGCATTGTAAATGGTAAAGCATATCCTGGTAGGACATTGCTTACACATTCTTGCTCCATAAGTTTTTCAGATTCCCAGATTTCTCAAGACACTTTCAAAACAGATTACCAGCTCTGATCCACTTCTGATACAGATTTATGAACTCTACAATGGTAGTTACCTGCCTCTCTTAAAAAACAAGATTCTTCCCTTTAATAAGGCACTTAAAAAAATCTTTACTAAGTTGGTATTTGCTGTTCTGTTTGCTACAATCTCTGATAGATTTACAGATAAACCTATAATAATTTGCTATTAAAGAAGCAAGCCTTAATTTTATAGACTCTCTTAGTTACAAAACTGAATACTAAAATTGTAAATGAAATGGTGAGCTTTTTTTTTTTTTAAACAGAACACTCATTTTCTATACTTCATACATTAAGAGTATTTTGTGGAAGACAACTAAGATCACCAAGATATGATAAAGCAAAATCCCAGAACTGGGAGTGAGTAGGTAGAGGTGGGAGTGTCAAGAAATGCATACTGTCTTCTTACATATCCATCTCTGCAGACACAAACACACCCTGCTTCTTCCTCCGGCTGATGGCTGCCACATGCCTAGAGTAACTCAGTCTGACCTTTGATTGTTGTTACATTTTTAAAAATAGCAAATGACTGAGATGCAATATCTCTGCAATTTGTGACAGAATTGTTTATATCTGTGCAAACTGGCAAATTTATCAGGCAGTAATATGTGTCTCAAACTGCCTCATATAGTATCAATATTGGATGTTAATGCTTCATGTAACAGTCTAAGAACAGAGTTCACACTCCCTTGTGTATATGAAGGTTAGCAGAAGGCCTATCAGAACAAACCTACATGTATACATTTAGGGCCACCTGTTGAGGCAAAGAAAGCCAGTATTTCTTTCTCAAATGAAAACCTGATTCTCAAGATCGGCACCTGCTGCATCAACATGGTAAGGAATATTGTATTTTTCAGTTAGGGTTTGTAAAATTTTGTGCCCTCTGTTTGAAATAAAATAAGTCTGGCAGACCTGGGCACGATTAATTGTTCATAAACAAAACTGTCTCCCTCAGGGTTTCAGAGAACATTCTACATTACCTGTTGTACATCTGGTGTATCTGACCCGGCAACATGCAGCTTTTAAAGCTTGTTTTAGAACCTGCTCATTGGGAGGTAAAAAATCTACAGAGATAATATGCAGAAAATTCAGTCCACAGTTCAGGAGTGTAAACCCACACAAGTACACAGGACTGTTTTTATATTTTACACATCAAATAGAAAATGTTTTATTATGTCTCTGAATATAATTCTGAGTGTTATACTATAGAACATAATACCAGTACAATTGTGTAAAAATTGTTGCTGCTTTTTCACAGAGAAACACTTGGAGGATACAAGCTGTGGTGCTCAGCAAAACAGTCCTGATTCTCCAGAATGTAAGGCAAGTGACAATTTTATGAAGTGTGAGATGACCCATCAAGTGAAGTGAGTTATATGGAGCGAGATTTCTTCCAGTAGTGGTATTTAATGTATTTTTTTCCTCTCCAGTTTCTTTAAAAATGAGAATATAATGCATTTGGAGAGTGTCCTCTGAAGTGTTGAATTGCTTCAGCAATCACGGACTAGAATGCACTGAGCACTTCCTGGGGTCAGACTCTTCTACTGCTGTTTTTCAATTTGTAATATCACTACTTTACCAGCTTGGTAATATAAGCACAACTCACACGATGTAGACCCTCCATTAGGTCTTCATAGTACTCTTAACAGTTTACAAGATTAATCCTTCACTTAGAAAGAAAGTAACACCGGAAAAAGATACAGAACATCACAGCATGGGATTCCAGGAAAAACAAGTATAACTTTAATTGTGAAGTGTTTTCCACAACAGACTTTGAAACCTGAGATTAACTGTTTCATTCTGAAATTCTCAGATGGGGCATTCGAAATGAGGGGAAAATTACTCCAAACTTTTGGAGTATTTTGCAGCACTGAAATAATCCATAACGGTTTGAATTCAGCAAGAGTAATTAATGCCATTTTTAAAATGATGAATTCCTAAAATACAGAGGTGTTTTCTTTGAAAAAAAGAAGTAATTTCCATGCTTGATAGACAATGCTTCAGAAATTCTTACAAGTGCAAACATCACTTCTGTTTGTGCAAACATGTGGAAAATAATGTTATTTGGAATTTAAATTACCCACATGGGGACTGGTATTTCATGGGAATAGATTTACTAGCTTTCTCTAGATTGTGGTTTGTTAAAATTAGACCTCCAACCTGGCAGAAAAATTGCAACAATTTTCTCACTTCTGATTAAGTGGTCACTATTACTGCTTCTTCCACACCATTTAATCCATGATGGTTTATCTGTTCAACTTGATAAAATAATTTCTGAGGATGATATTTGCAATGTTGGAACTAGTCATGCTGCAAGTCAGACGTTTCTAGGTTGCTGCTATTTCTGACATAATACTTGACCCTAAAAAAGCAGTTGATTTTAAAACTGAATGAAGTGCTAAAGCCAAACAGACAGGTATGTTGGGGTTGCAAGGTTAAGATGTACATTATAGAACAATAAAAGAATGGAGTATGTACTGCATTACCAACATGCTGGAGGTGAGTGACTTGTTTTCCAGTGGAGGTGTTGTATTTGATATATTATAAAAGGATTACAAAAATATATGTTTCCTTGCTCTTAAGAAGTTATTTTCCCCTCCAGTGATTATTTAAAAGGATTATGGAAATAAGTATGTATTATTTTCATTCTGATACATTCATCAGCTGCTATGTTAATCACTGGAAGGTCTATACACCTATTCAAGAGATAGATATATCCCATAATCTACATCAGGCAGCGAGGGCTGTGAAGCATAATGGGATCTTTTGGTTTTAAAAATACAAAAAAAAACCACAGCCCTAAATAAACTCCACTTTAGACTGCATTCTTTTCTATTGTAGGACTTCATTATTAAGATTGAGCTGGAAAAAGCAGAACATGGAAGCCTGGGATTTGCACTGGTAGGTGGAAGAAATGGCAGCGCTATCCTAATAAAAGCCATCAGCCCAGACAGCACTGCAGATCTAGATGGGAGGCTTCAAGTTGGGGACATCCTACTTAAGGTAATGCTTGATCTTCATCATTTTGGTCTACATTTTCTCTACTCTATAGTAAGCATTCTGTTCAGTATAATATTGTGCGGTTTGGAAATCTGAGGCTGCTTGACACAGTACCATGTAGAAGACAGTGTCCCTTGGCTCCTGGGGTTCTGAGGGCCATTCTGCCCCTCCCTCCCCTCCCTCCTCCTTGCCTAGAGTTCAGCTTCCTGGGGGACTGGGCTTCTCTACGGCTGGAGGTGGCTGTTGGGCACTCCAGCAGAGACACAGACCCAGAATAGCATGACAAGCAGCAAAGTGCAACAAAACCATAGTGTAACTGTTCCCAGTGAGGATTACCCATGAAAAATCAGGGAAACAAGAGTTAACTGACTAAGCATGCATATAACAGCTAACCAGGACAATACCGGGAAGAACCTATCACCAGTGCCAGTTAGGTAATATCAAGACAAGCAAAAAGCACTGGAATTAGAGATTTTGAATCTTTATTTAAAATCTTACTATCTTAACCACCTTTTGTAATAATTTTTTTTTTTTTTAATGTCAAATTATTTTTAGCTCCCCCTCCAGGAGTTTCGATATTTTTTGTTTGGTTTTCTATTTTTCATTTATTTTAATCTCCTCTCCATCTTCCATCTGAAAAGCGAGGGAAGCAATACCCTCAGTGTCTCAGAAGAGATGCAAACTATACTTTTGCAGTGTACTGCTGGCAATCATGGTATAAAGAAGTAGCAAGGAGAGGGTCAAGAAAGTTACTAAAATAGAAGGGGATAAGGACACATGAAGTGCAAAGAAGTTATACAGAGATTGCTCAGTGCTGAGATATGTGATTTTAAAAAGCTTTCTGTTGCAGGAATCTAGAAGTATATATCATTGTATTTTTCAGGTGAATGAGACTTTCGTGTCTGGTCTGCCACGCCAAACAGTTGTAGATTTGCTACGCAAGGCTCGAGGCTCTGTTCAACTCACTGTCTGTCGAAGAATGTCTTTGCATTGGGATTATTCAGGCAATCAGAGCAACATGGTATCTTCCCCCACAAACACAAAAGCAGAGCTTGGTAAGCAGCTACATCCACTCAGTATATTATAAAAGTGTGATTATGTGTTTGAATTCAAATTTCCTTTAAGCAAAACAAATCAACATCACTAACTTTACAGTTAGTCCTGATTCATAGCTGTAGATACAAACACATTCTTCACCTTGATCTGCAGCACTAAGATATTCAAAACATAGGACCACAAGGAAGGAATGCCTAAGTGTGGTTTTTAAGTCTAGGAATAGAGGAAGCAAATCTGCAAGACCCTCAAAGGTGCTTTAGCCCAGTTTATGCTTTTGAGTCATGAAGGTTCCTAGTATGATTTTACCCCATTTTATACAACTCACTGATGGAATCACATCCAATCATTGACCCAGCTACTAAAACACATTTCCCACAAATTTCACATCCCAGCACTCCTACCTTATCTCTTGGAAGCACTACACCTCCTGTTCTGCCTAGCAGACAGCTCCTCTCCCTTCTGTGCTTGTTCATGTTCAAATCCAGAAGCTTCTGCTCCCAGGTTGACTGCTATTAATTTGAGAGCACACCCAACTGCATAGGGCAGTATTTAGAGAGCTGACTAATGCTAATGGAAGAAAATTGTGCTGCAGGCTCAACTCTACTGAATACTCAAAATTTAATACTAGTTAAATCTGGGAGTGGAAGCAAGGGTATATTATTACCAATAGATTATGGATTTATATTCCTCAACTTTCTATTTCTTTGAACACTGAAATGTTTCCTATAATGGAGAAACTTCAGGAGGAAGAATAAAGAATTCCTCCTTAACATACCTTCTGGCCTGCTGGTTACAAATTGGAGGCTTTGTTTCAAATCTTCTCAGGCAAGAAGCCACAACTATTGCTATTTTCTTTCTCCCCAGCTGACTAGGAAGAGATGCAGAGCTGACTGTGGGTTTTGGACTTATTTTACAGCAAACATTTATGCATGTAGTCAGTTTTACTGATTCAAACTTACCTGCATAGGGATTTTAGGCAATTCTGCTGTTAAGTAGCAGCTGCCTCTAGGGTTCAAGGATCTCAATTTTTTCGGTATCTATTAGACTGAGCGTAATTCTCTCAGACCCCTAGCCTGTGTCATAAGCACTGGACACACCTTCACATACTGGTAGCTATCCAGTATGTTTCAAGAGCAAAGCTTTTCCATAAGGATGAGAAAGCTATGCACAGCACCGTCCCGGAAGGAGGATGTTCCCTGTCCCATCTCTATTCTAATTTAATTTTGTGGGTTAACAATGCAAAAAAAAATGGAAGGATGGACAGTTATAGAAAGGCTGATTGAAGCTCTTGCTCTGTTAAAGGCTGTGGAAATATTCCCATTCACTTCAGGGAGACTAGCCTTTTCTCTAGCTCTGAAAATTCAAGGAACTAGATGTAGGGACATTTATTTGCATCTCACATGGAATTGGTGGATTACACAGTTTCTGGAAAGTTTAAACTGTTTTCCTGGACCAGTAAAACCCAGTGGTATTATAGAAGCATTAGCATCAAAGTTAATCTATGGTATTTGTCACTTAGCACTGCAAAGGAATGGGCTAAGTTAGGGAGGGAAGATTTAAACTCTGTTTCATTTTTTTTTATAACTGCTGTTGATACACGGGTCTACTTCAGTGTATCTTCTGGCATCCTGAATTACGCTGGCTTCTTCATTGGTGTTGTGCCGTACTAACCCTCTCAGAGCATCCATGAAAGGGATATCCCATGCCAGTTTCTGCCTCTTCCAAGATCAAAGTCCTCTGGTGTGGTGGCACAGAAGAAATGGATATATATTTTCATGCTTTATAGGCATTTTACCTTGATTTTTGTTTTCTGGTATTCAGATAGTGCTGAAGGAAGTCTACAAGCTCAGCCCATTTTCACTTTCAAGGAAGAAGAAGAATCCAACCAGATGTGCACCAAGGTAAAATCTGAATCAGGCTTCTAGAAGTTATCAGTCAATGTACTTGTATGTTTGTTTACAAAATGGGTTTGCTGCAATGCGGGGAAGAACCACACCTTCTTAATGAAAAAATATTAATGTGAGAGAAGTGCGCTGCAATGACTGGAACTGCAAACATTTGAATGAGTCAGGGGATTCCACTGAGATAAGAGCATATGATTAGTATAATATATATGCTGAAAGGGCAGGGGGAAGGAAGGTTGCATATGCAAGTCTAGTTCTGGTGCTTTATAATATTGGAATAAATGATTTATTAATTTTACCATTTTTTCAGTATTCTAAAACAATATACTTTAAAAGATTTCTATTCAACTGTCTTTCAGTAATATTCATAACTCCAAGGCACCCAAACTTCTTCAAGCATGGTTACGTTTTTGAATCTTAGTAAGTCCTGCAAGATATTTCACATCAAATTTTAGAGCATCTATTATTCCTAAGTTTACAACTGTAAAAGCTCTCCTCAGAAATACAGGTCTTCTTATCCTCCAGAACAAATAAAAAACCCAAACAAATATAATGAAGCTAGAAAATGACAAATGGAAGAAATCCTTGACATGAATAAGCTGAGAAAACCTTAAAGAGGCATTTGTTTGAGGAAGTTTTAGGTACACTTTGGAATGGATGTTAGAACTAAACTGCTAGACATTCATGAAATGTAAGATCAAAACAAGTTCATGTCTATGGTCTGACAAAGGAGTACACCCAAGAAGTAATATCAATGAGAAGTAGGAGATAGTACTAAGGTTACAGGTTACTTATTAGACCCCTAAATTAGCAAGGTATTAAGGCACAAATTTAGTTTTAAGCAGGTGGTTAAGTCAGTTCAGCACAGCACAGGCCTAACTTTAAGCACAAGCTAAAATTTTTTGCTGAACTGGTTCCATTAACTGTCTCTTCTTCATTATTTCCAGCTTGCCTTTAGCTGTTTCCTATAAATAGAAACTATTTATGCTTTACTTTGTAGACTACAGCTGCCACCTACTCCAAAGATGTAGACTTTGAAAATGACAAGCTACTGAAAAAAAAAAAACGATGCAAAAAAGCAGAAGTAAAATGCCTTTCCTTGGCAAATAGAAAACAAAAATCTATATAACATTCTCCAATCAGTGTAGCCAGTAGATGTAGAAACTGGGTAAATGAATTCATGGTTAAATAGATAGTCATTAATTCCCCTATTCTAATGGGTAAATACAAGGTCAAAAGTAAGAAAATAAGGTGCAAGTGGCAGCTACTGTTAAAGATTCTGTGGGGCATTCGGTAGTTTATACCATATAACATGCCAGGGTGGTTTCTGGGTGCATCCGGACTATTAAGCAGGTAAAGAAGAAGAAACACCACTCTGAATTAAAATTTAAATAATTATCTATCAATGTTAAAACTGAGAAGGAGCGACTTTCACATACTAATGGCAGATGACCTGTATGATTATTTAAATGCAGGACCCAGTTATCATTCTCTAGGATGGAAAAACAGCCACCAACACTATTCCTTTTACTGCATATAGAGAGTGATCAAGGGTCTGACTTCTCTATTAATTCAGTGCTTCTTCAGTAGAGCAGCTACACCCTGCTTCTAACAGCTGGCATCATTGTGTCTGAGATAAAAAAAGGAAATTATTACCAACAATTCCACCTCTGACACTGGTGCTTTCTGCTGCCAAGAGTTGGGAAGTGAAGAGTGTGACTCATGATTCCTGTGATTGCATTTTCTTTATAAGATCAGAGAGGATATAACTAACATGAACCTTTTCATAGTCATACACGCTAAGTCTGAAGACTGTACTGTTACGAAGCTCACAAATATAGCTGATGTGGCTTTTTATTCCTTGTAGATTCTGCAACGCTGGATCAAAGTTACACACTTTCTTCTGAAAGTGGAAACTATTCTGTTTTCCCCTTCTTGAGTTAAGGACACATTTTTGTCAGACATATGAAAGAACGTTGATGAAAGTAATTATGTTCTTCATGTTTCTGTATTACTGATTTTTCACAGCTTTTTCTTGTTTTAAACCTGCAGGATCCAGAAAGTACACACAGTTCACCTCTGCAAGGTTGGCTGTCTGGACAGGACTATAAGGATATCATCAGTAACATTTCAGACAGGTAAGTCTTTCAAATGCAGTAAAACTGTTATAACAAATAGTATGGATAATTTACTCTTATATTCCCAGAGCTGTCTTAATAGGGTATGCAAATGCAGTCGTGTGTCCCAAATAATAGAAATACAGTTCTACTGGAATGCAGCTCCATCTGCAGTAAGAGTTGCTAAACAGCTTCCACACAACTACTAAGACAAATGAAACGTAAGCTTCTAGGTGTAACAGCTCATGCAGACTTCCCTAAGCTAGCTTTAGCCTTTCTAGCTGAGGAGGAGACACAACACCAGTAGGACTGTCATGTTTGTGTGAGCAGGGTCCCTGTGGGTTTTACCAAGTGTTCCAAACAGGTCTTGCAGCTTGGGCTGGACCCTGGGCTACTATGGCTGTAGAGTTACAGATGTTGAACTCCAGACATGTGGGAATCAAGAGAATTTAAGGATGTTACTCCAAAGAAAGTACATAGTACAAGAAGAGAAGAATTTTACTTCAGATTTTAAATCTACAGTAAAATGGGAAATCAAAAAGTAATGGAGTGTTGATAAGATATGGGCAGTTTTGTCTATTACAGTGATGCAGAATATAGGAAATATGATTATCACTTATAACCCACATAAATGGATAAAAGGACTAAATATTTACATTTAAAACTTAAAATTTTGTAAGAACAGTATTTGGCTAACCAATTAGGGATGAAAATCTCCCCTAATTTACCTGCTTGAAGAGATAAAATCTGAAAGAAGCTTTGAGAGCACCTGCAGGTGAGAACATCCATGTGAACACAGGCTTAGTGTCACTTGATATTAACTCATTGTTAATATAACATTATCTTGTGATATATCAGGTAATCAGGTGTGATTATTATTAAATTAGCTTGCTCTGTGTGAAAGATGCATAAATACATCTATGGCTAATACAAAGTTATCATATATAGGGATAATAAGTATCTCTTCTGGTTGTTTTGCAAATAGGATGGTTTTCTGGTCCCTGTCATGTAATCTGAATCTTTTTACTACCAGTATTCTCTGGTATTTCTGTTTTCTAGTTGTAAAAGCTTTGTGAAACTCGAACATGCACAGCCTGCAATGATTATTGATATTTGAAAAACTGCTACTTATTATCTTATTCTCCCTCTTAAGTCTACCTGTTACCATTTCTAATATTATGTATTATGAACATATATAGGATAGGATAATGCAAGTCTGTGATATGCTTAAACCTACTAGCATAATTAAATGTTAGGTCTGAAGGTATCCGAATTAGACAGGAGAGGAATATTTGACCCATTCTACACACATTATAGTTGTATTCTGGACTACAGGCATATCTTCTACGTAAAACATATTTAAGTACTTTAAAATTATCTAAACACAATAGGAAAAAGTAACAAGCAAAGCCTATCTAGTTATGATTGCCTAACAACTGAAAAATGTCATACATGAAAAATTCTCTATAACTGTAACAAGCCTTACTTCCAATCATTTTTTTGGGCAGGTTTTAATACAAAGCATGTTGTTATCTCTTTGAAAAAATAAAATACCACATACAGATAATAGTGTTTTTTGCTGGTTATATTTGCAAACAATACTACAGACAAAATAGTACTACTACTCCTTGAACTTATATTCTTCAGAGTTCACACTAGTTCTTGAAAATAGTTCCTCAAGGAAGTTAAAAGGGACCAAATATAGATTAAAACCAAAACCTTTGTATGGTTCAGATTATCAAAGCTTCTTCCACTTCCATAAGACCATTCAAGTAATGCTGTTTTACAGGTCATGGAAATATGCAGAATGTGAAGGCAGCAGAAGAGAGAGTCAGCAGTCTGAGTCAGACAGCTGGAACAATGAAGATGATGATATGCCTCACAAGATTTCCGTTCTACCTAGAAGTAACCATGCATAAATTCCTCTTGTTTCTGTAACATTATAGACCAGCTCCCCCATAATATGTACAGTGAGAACAACACTAATCCCCTGTATACAAGCTAAGAATTTGCTCCTTGTGTTCCAAAGACCTGGGCACTCAGGACACAAGTTTTACCGCTGACACATATGAAGGCCATCAAACTTTTGCAACATCCACAAGAAGGCAGCCTACATCAGGAGCTCTCCAGATCTTGGAACTGCTAGAAGGAAGGAACATGAGTCTGAATGTAGTTAACTGAACGCAGCGAGGCCAGCTCTCCTGGTCATCACCCACTCACCACTGGTCTGAGCACCTCCGCTTTGGAACTCCAGTCTCAGAAGGATGAGCAATTTTTTATTTTTATTTTTTGTGGGGTTTTTTGTGTCTTCTGTTTTGTTTTTTAGTTGGGATATTTTTTTAGTAATGTTATAATGTTATATATCATGTCCTTCCCCAAAGGAAAATATCTGAATACCTTGATTATACTCAATTAGATGCACAAATTGAGCAAATAAGAGGAAAAGAAAGTTCTTGAATTAATTTGAGCAACATCGTGACATTTGTTCAAATCATGAACTATTGGGTAGTGCAAAGAAATGACACATTGGCTCAGTGGTTGAACAAAAAAAAAAAAAAAAAAACATTGCAATTTGGGAGCTTCCCAGTGCATAATTAAAAACTTTAAATTCTCAGTTTGTGCCAAAATGAATAAAATAAAAGCAGATGGATTATCTTAGAAGAGATACAGTAAACAGACTAGATTTAGTAGAAGGCCTTTTTCATATATGAAAGGCAATAACCAAGAAGGCTTTGAGAATTAATGGAACAAATTCTAGGAACATACTACGAAATGTGCTTTGTTATCACTGGACGCAATAGGTTTTTGAAACCATTCTTTCTCTCTTACTGTTCCTATAAAAATCCTCAAAAAAGTAAATGAAACACACAAAAACATAGAACCAATGGTCAAATTCTATCTCAAGACTTTGTTCCCAGAATCACTGAATTTCACTTCATATAACTTCATTAAAAGCTCTAGAACTGATGTGCTTTAACACATACTGAAGCACTTTCACAGCAGAGGCACTAAATCCCCTCTGATACCAGAAGACAGTTGTCTAGTTGTTCCTACATAAAATTAAGCTGCTTCTGCCCCAAACAAGAATAATTTGTGAAAGGAATCATACTGAGGATGCTGAAGTATCCCATAGATTTTCTGAAATACAGGTCTCTTCCTGCTTCTTCTTGCCCTATGGAAGCAATGAATTGCTGATTGCTTTTATCAGAAGTGAATCACAGTTATCTCCCTCACACTACCATGCTGTGCTGGCTAGTGAATAGAAAATTATAACCAATTTATCTTCTACTACCTGCTCAAAGTTTGGGGTTTTTATTCCACTTCATCTGGAAGAGAGAGAGGTGTACATAAAATAGCATTCTCTCTCTGGGACAGGGGATCTGTCTTCACTGTCACTCTCAACAAGTGAATAGAAACATCATTGCATCTGTGAGGGTTAGAGAACAGAAAGTGAACAGAAAGTATCTTAGAAGCTCAGGCAAGGCAGGTACAAGTTGTAGTCCAGACAAAAGCATAGCATGCACAACACTTCTGTAACAGAAATTATTTAACAGTAGCAATGACATCTTACAAGAGGAAAACGGAGCACTGCTCCCTGTCTTCAGCCTACAGCAAAACTGTGGAACAAATCATCACGTTTTCTTTGAGACAGCTGGCATGTTACTCTTTGCCAACAGTAACCTATGACCAAAAGGACAAATTCCATAATTCCTCTGCCTCAAACCACTTTTTTTTACCAAACAAGCTACTGTTTTTACTCTACATGGTAACAAAAGTTTTTCAGTTGCTTCAGTAGAGAAGTGATATTTCTGGAGATGTAAATGTTTATCCATCTTCTTAATCTGTCAAGTTTTGGATCAGAACATAAAAATCAGGATGAGCTAACTAGTAAAACCGAATCCTAATTTTGGTGCATCAAAGATACTTCACATCTTGTTCTTGAAGGGAAGTGTGAGGTAAGATGAAAAGAAAAGAAGATATTTTCTTACTTCAGGAAGGAAGAATTTACAGTTATTATTCCTAGCAGTGCGGTGTGGTAATACTAATTTTCAGGAAAGTGCTGGAAACATAAACATGATTTCCTGTGAAGATATAGCCAGAGTGTCCTATATCAATATAAACTAACAAAGTTTACTATCCTGCAAGAACAGTTTATTTAGAACAGACTATATTTAGAAACCGTATGAGGCAATAAGTTGCAATAGTTGGATCTGCTTTCAAATTATGTGCTGGTTGTATCCATGGTGCTGACTTACTCTTCTTTCTGCTGTGAACAAAAGTAAGCCAAAAATATTTTTTCACATTTCACTTCCACAGTATAAACATCAAAATGCACTTGAATACTGCAGCTCCCTAGTTTTTACAGCAAAGACTTTGTACTATGGGCAATAATAATTAAAAACTCCCTTGTTTTTTTGTTGCTATATAGGCAGAACCTTTGCTTCTGGAGATGAACTGACTCAGTTAATAAACTTTAGACCATCACTGATTGGAGTAGGTCCAAGGACTGGCATCACAGATCTTATTCAAGGCCTTCAGTTGCGGATTGAGAATCAAGAGGTGCTAAAGGAGTTTCTGGTAAACTGTGATTCTTTTTTAAGATCTGAGTGTTTAGAAGACCTAAGAAAGTTACTTTTAGCAGCCTTCTGCATACTGTATGGGAGATCGACTCGTATGTCTTTACTGACTCCACTTTCTTGGAGAATTATTCCAGCCAGAATGGGGCTTCTACTCTCCTGTTTGGGTGATGCTACAGTACTTGGATCTCTCTCCTTCCACACAGGTCAGGCTTACACTTTTCCCTGTCTAAAGATACTGTCCACATTGAATGAAAAATAAATAATACACAAAAGGACAGTATGAATCACTTTTTCCTAGACTGACTTCTTCCTATTACCCCCTCAGCTCTGCTAAACATCTCCTTAAGAACTATTCTAGAGGCTGCAATAAAACAAGAAATCCATCCTGCTAGGGATTCACTGGTGTTGAAACACTTAGTTGATGAAAGGAAAATGTTTCACAAAATGTTCCAGTGATCTATGGAACTCATTGCCACAGGATGCTATTAAGGTCAGGAACTCTGTGAAATTAAAAAGTAATGTACCTCCATAGGCAAGGACAACACATAATTACTTCTGATGGCATATAAGTAATGAAAAAGTGTAAAATTAGGGAAGCATATAAAATCTCTCATATTGGGATATAGATAGAATACTCAGTTAACAGCAAATTCCCAAAGAACAGTTTCATAACTCTTCAACACAATACTGGAATTTCCTTTAAAGGATGTACTCATCACCAGTGAAATAGATTGCTACTACTTTTTCCACAGCAATTAAAATGTTACCAGTTTGTTTCACTTGCCTTTATATCTCTGATATATAAGTGTATAGGATTTGAGCCCTGAAGGCTCAAGGGCATGTATTGATTTCCATTCAATTCTGTTATTGATGTAGGCATAACATACTTTGAGCTGAGTCACGCATCTGCATAGAACACATAAAGATCTAATAGGGAAAGCATTGGTTACCAAGGCCAACTGATATTTTATCTGAGCAAAAGCTGTAGTAACTGATGAAGATGTTAAAGAACTGTCACATGTATTTCAATCCATATACATTGTCTAGTGGCATAATGTGATGGCTGAGCATTGTACTGTGTATACCAAAGAGGTAAAAGAATAAATAAAAGTGAAGGAAACTCAAAACTGTAAATGAAATTAACTTGCACATTCCTGCTACCAGCTACACTGCATTCTGTTCCCCTAAATTTGCTGGGAAGTACTTAATGACCGTATGATTTGCACTTAATATCATCGATACTGTTCCCTATATCCATCACTTTCTCTGTCACTGAGAAGTATTCAGTGACATTCACTGCCTGTTAACAGTGCAATAGTTGGTGCTTTATTCAGTATGTTATCAATTACGAATGCCGACATCTGGCCAAGACACTATTCCAAAAATCTATTTTACAGCAATATACAAGAGGGATTTGTAATGACAGAGACTGAGGATGTGGGTTGGAAATATCACTTGAAAACCCTGGAAATTTTGTGCAGGCTGAAGAAAATACGAAGCAATTCTAATTCCTTGCCTAGACATTTAGAAAACGAAGTACTGATTCTTTTCTGTAAGAAGTCTATTTGCCCATCTTGGGTCACATATAGCAGTAAAGTTTGTTCACACCAACACTGTAAAGGTTGTCTGTAAAGGATGTGAACAACGTGATTGACTATTTCTCTTTGATCTAGGCTTTAGAACATGTAAAACCACTAAATGACTGCAGAACTGGCAAAGCACCAGAAAACCAGGATAAAAACAGATACCAAGATATTCTTCCATGTAAGTATGCACACTAATGAGAACATACATTCAGTGAACAAAGACATGAGAAAACAGAAAAACAGTTATAATACTGAGATGTAGGAGGTGCAGATTCCAACACATCCTTAGTCACAGAGAGCTCCACTAATAATGAAATGTGTTGAGATTTTTTCAAAAAGAGGTAGAGTTCATACAAGGATGTCTGTATTGCACAATATGTAATTTTCTGAAGTATCATCTTCCACAAGGCGCATCTTGGTCTGGTAGGGGGTCAGCTGTCTTGATGTTTCCTTCCCTCTTTCTCAGAGATATTGATCTACATTTCTGTGGGCAAGTGTAACTTGAACTATAATAGCAATTCTTTAAATGTTTTTAAATGTACAGCTACATCTACTGCTTGTGACACAGTGGAAATGTGAAAAGTACAATGGAAATCATGTAATTATGTACCTCTTGAAAAGACAAAGGTTCTTTCAGAGGTATTTGAAAGCATAATTTCCAAACAGAGCTTTCAGCTGCTCAGCTCTGATCTGAGTCAGAAACAAGTTTCATCGCTGATGAAAAGTCATTTTAGAAGAAAGATTTGAGTCCAAGAGCTGAGTGACTGCTGTTAACAAGGATTTCCAGAAAATAATGTATTGCCCAATGACTCCCTGAGAGGTATCATGATAGGAGGAGAACACCTTCTGGATCCCTGATGTCTTTCTAAACTGCAGCAGCAGGACGACACATGCAAAATTTGTAGCACAGTTACCTCTCCATATTATTGATACAGTATACATTCATACAAGTTTCCTGTTTTGTAACACCAATATCCAGTGACAATGTTCCCATGCCATACCTTAAAAGCAGTGTTGGATATACTATTTTGAATTTTTGCCAAACAATTTTATGGTAATTAGAAGGCTTGTCAGAGTGTTATGCAAGTATCTTAAGAGAAATAAAGCTGCAGTGAACCATACAATTTATCTGTGGGAATTCCTATTAGCAATGACTAATATTAGTGATACTAGCCAAATATATTCTAAAATCCAGAACATACTTTTCTGCTAGAGGCTGAAGTTCCCCATCTCCTGAGTGCTAGAGATGGTAGAGCTCCATTTCAGATCAACAGCTGAAATAGCAACTTTCTGTTTCTCTACAGATGATAGGACACGAGTTCCTCTGGGAGAAAAGAATGGTTACATTAATGCAAATTATATTAGAATGAAAGTTGGAGAAGAAGAACATTTCTATATCATAACACAAGGGCCTCTGCCATCCACTATTTCTGATTTCTGGCAAATGGTCTGGGAGAGTGAATCAGATGTGATTGCCATGATGACAAAAGAAGTGGAGCTAGGGCAAGTCAAATGTCATAAATACTGGCCTGAATCTCCCCATGACCCCACAGACCTGGCTAAGTTCCATCTCAGGCTAGACAATTACCAGATTCTGGAATACTTCATAATTAGAACAATAGAAATGATCAACAAGCAGGTAAGTTGAGTAGACTTAATACTTTCATATATGATTAATTGATTAGATATTTTACATGAGTAAATACTAGTATTGTTTGCTTTTTTTTTCATAACATTTGCTCAGTATTTTGGGGGAATGTAAAAATCTGAATAACAGGCTTGAAAATAGGGTTAATGAGACACTGCTTCTCTGCTCATTGCACAAGCAATGGATCCAACATTACATACATTTGGACAAGAAAATCCCCAAATTAGTCCTTTAATAGTCACAGAGCTGGTGTGTTCAGTGTTTTGCAGAATTTATTACTGTTCTCAAATCAGCAAGGGCTGACAGAGTGGATTCATATTCTGTTATGGTGGCTGGAAGGAAAGAGGGGAAGAAGGTGGTCTTCATCCTAGATTTTAGAACAAATAATATTTCTTTCATTCATGAAAAGATGTGAATACACATGAAACTACAAATCTAGCAACAGATTTTTAGAAACCTAACAAATATAGAATCCAGGTGTAAGAACACAGGCATCAGGGCAACTGTAAGTCTATCAGACTTGTCTCAACATTCAGTAAAGCTCTGCAAAAATTTCCGTGGGACATATTAATTAATAGAATAATTGAAAGATTTGTACTTGTGTCAGACTAACTTGATGTCTTTTTCCATTGTCATGGTTTAAGCCCAGAGGGCAACTGAGCATCATGTAGCCACTCCTTTCCCCGCTGTGATTGGGAAGAGAAAATAAAACAAAAGGCTTTGGGATTAAGACAAGGACAGGGAGGGATGACTCACCAGTTATGGTCATGGGCAAAAGACAGACTCGATTGCGGGAAGAAAAAACCCATTAATTTAATTTGAACACCACCACCACTAATTTACCAACCAAACAGAGTATGACTTGGTGAAAATACCATCACATCTTAAAACCACCTTTCCCCCCACCCCTCTCTTCTTCCTTGGCTCAGCTTTGCTCCTAATTTCCCTACCTCCTTCCCTCCAGCAGCACAGGGGGGCAGGGGATGGAGGTTGCAATCAGTTCATCATTCATTGTTTCTGCTGCTCGTTCCTCCTCAGGGGGAGCACTCCTCACACTCTTACCCTGCTCCAGCATGGGATCCCTCTCACAGGAGTCAGTCCTCCATGAACTTCTCTGATGTGAGTCCTTCCCACAGGGCTGCAGCTCTTCATGAACTGCTCCAGTGTGAGTTCCTGCCATGGGCTGTAATCTTCCCAGCAACAGACTGCTCCAGCATGGGCTTCCCTCAGAGTCCTGGCCTTCTTCAGACGCAGACACCTGCTCTGATATGGGGTCCTTCACGGGCTGGAGGTGGATATCTGCTCCACCATGGAACTCCATGGGCTGTGCAGGTCACAACCTGCCCTCTCACTACAGGCTTCAGGGGAGTGTCTGCTCCAGTGCACCTTTCCCCCTCCTCTTCCTCATTTCTTCAACTGACCTCAGTGTTTGCATAGGTATCTCCCTCATAACTCCTCCTCCTCTCAAGTTCCCCTTCTTAAATACGTTGTCACAGAGATGCAGCCACCATCACTAATTGGCTCAGCCTTGGCCAGAGACAGGTCCAATTTGGAGCTGGGGAAGCTTTGAGAAGCTTCTCACAGGAGCTACTTCTGTAGCCCCTGCCCTGCTACCAAAACCCCACCACACACAAGGCCAACATAGCCATATAGAAAAAAACTTCTCTATATGAAGAAAACACAATTCACCTTGTGTCACTGAGTGTGAAGCATACTAAAGCATTTAATATGAGTCTTTCCAAAAGATTATTAAGATGGGAATATGAGCCATTATATGTGATTGTTTCAATGAACATGTTATGTTTTCTACGTTTGTCTTGAACCAGTATCAAATTACTACAGAAAGCAACAGGTTTACTTCAGCAGAAATCCAGACATGCATTCAAATTCTTCTGATGGTAAAAATCCAGGTAGTTCTTTTGCATCCAGCTTAAAGTGTTTTGGCAAGCTGGAAACACGAAGTTGTGTCCCGGGATCATTCAGTTAATAATCTTATTTTATCTACATTATGAATAGTCTCTTAAGTATTTTTTTAGTTGATTTGGTTTATATGTTAGAGTATCTAATCACAAATTGGTCTTTTCTATCTTGTAGCCAGAATAGCATTTACAATCTTACTATCGTGGCTATCATATTACTACTCTTCTGTTAGTATGGTTTAGTTCAGTTACAAAAACAATTTTTGTAAACATTACCGAAATGTTCTAATTTAACAAATGTTTTTTATTTTCTTTTCTAACCAACAAATAAGACAACTACCCCAACTCTGTTGCTGGGGCAACAGAGTAACTTTGGTGTCTCATCAAAATTATATAAAGTAAATCTCCTAGGTCTGTGTCTTCTCAGTACATTTCTGAAAATCTAAAAGAAAACTTAGTAGGATCAAGTATGAAAAGCTGAAAAATTGTAGGGTAGACAAACAAGTGACTAAGAATGAGGCTGATGGAAAATTTATCAGTGGAATTCCTTGAAAATTGTTCTTAGGACTGATCATTTTTAATATTTCTGGTCTCTCTCTTGCAGACAGAAGAGAAGCGCATTATAAATCATTTGCAGTTTACCACTTGGCCAGATGACAATATTCCCAAACTGGCTGAACAGCTTGTAAAATTTATTTGTTACATGAGAAAAGCTCACAGTGCAGGACCTATTGTTGCTCACTGCAGCACTGGCATTGGAAGAAGTGGAGTTTTGCTCTGTGTTGAAGTTCTGCTCAGCTATATAGAAAAAGATTTATGTGTAAGTATCAAACAGATCATTGTTAAGTATTAAAAAATGGTATGGATGTCAACAACATGTGGGGGTATCTTAGACCAGAGTAATTCTTGATAGAATTCATCATAACAGAACGAAATAAAGCTAGCTTTTGTTGTTTTAAACAACAAAGATAATAGCTACAAATATAGTATTTGTAAATGAACTCAGTCATAGCTTCACCATCTGAACATGTTTAAATCCTTCTTTATATTTTGCATGTCAACCAAATAAAAACTCTCCTCTTCTGATAGTTCAACATCAAGCAGATAGTGAGAGATTTGAGAGATCAGCATTTTGGCATGATCCAAACTAAGGTAAGTTCTCAATATTCAACTAGACTATGATTTTTAAAGGCCTCAATTAGTGGTACATACCCACATACTTTGGTAAATCTGGGGCTTAAAGCGTAGTTTTAGCCCTCACATTTGAGGAAAATAACAGCCTTCCAGGAAAGTGGTGTCTATAAATATGAAAGGTCTGTCCCTTACTAACTAATTGAAATAAAAGAAAAGCACCAATATAGTACAGATACCAGATCCCATGCCCCGTTTATTTTTAAGCAAAAATAAAAGAAAAGCAGGGATTAACAACAAAACTGGTGAGATACCATAGACTCTACACTGCAAAATTGTGGCCTTCAGCTGAATTCTTGATATTGCTGAGCTATCATCACCTCAGTAAACCCTTCTACTGCTGAGTTAAACCTACCCCTGAAAAGAGTTTTCATACAGGAAAAGACAAGATGCAGCTAACTCAATTTAGAGCAAAGAGCTAGTAGGAAGAAAAGCAAGACAAGACTAGGATAAGTTCTTCCTATAGGCAAATATTTTAGCACATGCTTTGATATATTTTTCTTCAGGATAATGATTGAGCATGTGATTAAAATTAAGCAAATAGATAACTTTCACTGACCTAAATGAGACATGCTTACAGGTACTGTATTGAATAAAGTGTTCCTGAACTTTTACATTTGATGGAACAAAAAGAACAAGGATGCTCTCAAACATGTAAGTTTTAGTATCCATGTTACAAAGATGCTGGTGTTATAAACAGCACTTCAGCCAGTCCATCCTTCTTTGTCTAGAATTTATGTTGAATGTAACCAGGTGTTTCACACTGATGTCTCTGTGTACAGGATGAGTATTTATTCTGTTATGAAGTTGTGCTGGAAGTCCTTCAGAATCTTCAAGCAATGGATTCCTACTGACTGCAATATGAGTCTTCCCTGTTGCTACCCCCTTGGACTTTGGGGACCACTCAGCAATTCCTTTAAAGAGATGTCAAGCCAGCATGGACAAGTGTTATAGTACATGCTTTGTTAGATTACTCTGATTTCTAAGGCAATCCAAAACCTTGCTTATCATGTCCTGGGTAAGTCATCTGTATCTTGGTTCACAGTTTGGAGAAACAGCCAGTCAGCACTGCTGCACTGCTGTTAAATTGCTGTGGACAATTTAAGTATTCTGTGTAATAACATATTAATTGTTAGGAAAATATTTTGGGACTGTGACAAGGAGATAGCATCCTTTGAAATCAGCTTTACTTTCCAGAGGGCAAGTATAAAGATCTAAGATTCTGCTGGTGTTGATGGAAGATTAGTTTTTCCTTACACACTGTTGCACACTATTGGCTTCTGGACTGCAAATCAGTATTTCCTACAGTAGTTATGCTTTTGTGTGGAAGGATTCAATTTGTTTACCTTTAGTTGCTTGAACAATATAGAACCATTTCCAGTCATCACTCCAGCCCAGGAATTTATATCACCAGAACAACTTAAATGAAGAAAGTGACACAAAACCAGTACACCTTTAAACCCTAGCTGGTTCTATTCAAACCAGGAAAAGCATTCTAATAATTAGGTGGAATATTATTCTTTTCCAGCAATACGAACAGCTGTAGATAGCATCAGTATTCTTTCATTCTGCATCCATGTAAAAAGGAATGCAATACTAAGCCAGATGAAATGACTCTGTGTTTGTTGTGGCACACATATACATTTCATCTTCCCCTGATGTTTTCCATTGATTAACTATCTTGTAATTCTTATCTAGGATTTGAACCAATCTATGGGAAGTCCCGCTGGTTCCAGTAGCGGCTGAACCAGATCTTTACATTTGAGTAAATAACCCTGTACAGTTTATTTCTCTTGTAAAAAGTGTTTCTGTTAGCACGAGTTTGAGTGGATTTGAGCAGAAATCTGTTGTTCAAGTTTATAAGATTGTACTTGTTTCTACAGTACTACTTCTAAGTCCTTTATCTAGAAGGATATATATATGGAAGTGAAGTTATTAGATGTGCATTGGAAGAGTAACTTTTAAACATACAAAATTATAACAGCATTTATTTAATTGAATTGTACATATTTTTAAAACTTCTCTGATTTCAGGAAAGGAGAAAATATTAAGAGGCATTTGAATATTAAACCCCAGTAGAAAAAAGACAATAAAATAGTTGTTTATTTTCATTACGAATGAGGGGTTTATGGTTCAGGAAGAATGAAGGATTAAATACAAATTAAAAGCATGACTTTTAGAAAAAGTCACTGTAATACAATTATAATTAAGGCCAAGAGCCATTTTTTCTTTTTGCCCTCAGATAGTCCACTGGAAGTCAGGAAAAAAATAGAAATGAAATTTATGATGTGAGCCAGATGCTAATTTCAAACATATTGGTAAAGATCCAGAGTAACGCTAAATTAGTGGAGTAACCCTGCACTTAGATTGGTATAAATATAAATAGAATTAAGTGTTTTGTCCTAAATTCATTGAATTTGAGCCTTCCCAGAAGCATTACGCTCCATGCATTCTGCATTTACTATCTTTATTTTGAATATAAAGAACTATTTGCAGTTTTGTCAAATGTCATCAGCCAAATTTTTGTCCATAACTTTGTTATCTTCATTTGGTATTTGGCCTTTCACTTTGATTTTGATTACTGCACATGTACTATTATGCAATGAATGCACTACACTGCACATCAATGCACAATTCACTTGTTGTACCACAAAAACTTTAAAAAGCTTCTCAGTGAAAATATTCCTGTACTTTACGCAAAGGTGTTTTTTCTGTGGTTTAGAACAAGTATTCTGGATTTAGAAGGCAATCTTCATGGCATTATCTGTTCTTCCTCATTTGTGCATTATTGCAGATGTTCAACAGAAGTTTTTCCTGGTTTACAGGGTTATTAAAAAGATTTCTGAAAACACTGCATTTCATTTCAATTTCTTTTTATGAAAAAGAAGCTGTAATACTTAACTACTAACCAGTAAGAGCTCTAGGGAAAATAATCTTTTATTAATTGGGCTTATATTTAAACTTCCTCTAAAGGCAGATTTTGTGATGATGGTACCTTTTGTATATTCCCCTAAAGCAGGTATTACTAACCTCTGAGACATTCTGCCATATTCCATGTTCTTATCCTTTAGGAATGTAATAATTAAATGCTTTTAGACACTATGGTTATGATCCCAATAACAACATCCTCACCCAAAATGAACTTTGTTTTGGATGATACATATACTTTTACACAGATCTAGTCCTCTAAGGCTGCTAGCAGAGTAAGGTAAAACAGAAATATCTTTCCAGATATCTCATAATCTGTTACATTACAAAAAAACTTTTACGCACAGAAAATCTCAGAGCCTCCTAAACCAACTTTAAGGGGTGCCAGATAGACGCAATTAACCACATGCTGGGTGATAGGCCCTCCATCTGTCACAGTCCTGGAGTGATCCCACAGAACAAGTTTCTCAATCCACAGCCTGAAAACATTTTAAGATAACTGCACACTTGAAAGGGTTCTGCGCATGTTTGAAGCTAAAGGCTGGTCACCTCAGTACTAGTACCACTCACAAGCTCCACTGCTGACAATCAGCCTAACAGCAGATAAATTTTGAGGAGGGAGGGACTGAAATGACAGACACAGCTTCTTCCTACAATAGACAACGTGTTTGGAGAAATAAACAATGAGTTATCACCAGAAAGTGCTTAGCACATGTGGCTGCTGTATATTGCTCCCTCAGAGATGCTAGGGAACCATCTGTTCTCAGTTTCCCCTTTAAAGTAGGATTCAGGGATTCAGATCAACTCCCAGCTCTCTTTCAGACTTTCTGAATAAGCCAAACCACTTAAAGAGGATTCTCTGCACTTCACAGGTTTCTTCTTTCACACTGGACTACTGGGGTACAGTCATATACTTTATGGCCCACTCTGCTCAAAATGTAGATAAACTGAGAACAGTTAGAAGACTGTTAAGAAGCATGTAAATATAGGGGAATCTGTCTACATCCAGAAGCTCATACACCATTTCCCCCTATACATAGCACAAATAAGAGCCCCACTTCTGTGTTCTTTATTCATGCAAAACACCCATGGAGATCAAGCCTCATTGATATGCATTCATTTGGAACAAGAGATAACCCAGTCCTTAAAGAGCTCACACTACTTGACAAGTCAGGCTAAAATGGAAAGAAAGGAAGATCTACTGTCCCATTTCAGTCACAGGGAAATGAGGCAGGGGTTGGTGATCTGTCCAGTTTCTACAGAGTTTTTGGAAACTTGGGAACTAAACCCAGATGATATAAGTTCTCATTCTGTGTTTACACACAAAAGTGTCTTTCCTCAGTCAGAAAATAGAATCATACTGCTCTGTCCCATTTCTGATGAGATATTATTTAGCATATAAAGTGGTCTGACTCGAACTTGCACACATCCTAACATGCAAGAGATGTATTATGGTACAGAACCTCAGTCTGCCTCTGGTTGCACTGCTTACTTCAGAAGTGGCACTGAGATCACTGTTTGTATTTCTAAATCGTATACCACCTAGTCACTAATCAGAACAAACTGCAGTACAAATGCAAACACAAAGGACACATTTGTCAGAGGCAGTACCTGCCATAAAAAGCACTCACAACAAGTAAACATCTGCTAGTCCCCAGATTCATATTTTAGCACAAAACCTTGTCAGTGATACTCTATGTTCACAGTAGCTCTGTCCACAGAACAGCACATCCCGTCATCTTACTCTGGGGAAGCAACTGTTTTACTGCCATTGAGTCTGCTGCTGAGTTTTTAACATCTACCATTTTATCTCAATTTAAAAGCAAGTATAGCAAGGACAACCATCTTATAGCTATTAAGCTACAAAATCATGTGAGCAGGGTGAAACCAGTGTTCCCATTCTTTCCTTTCATCTTCACTGAGTTCCATGGTCTCAGGACTGCTTCATGCTGATGGCTCCATGTACTCTAATACCCTATCTGCAATGGCAAGATACCTTAAAGTATATACACATCCCAAAAGGAGTGCTATTGGCTACAAGAACATAGTCAGGTTTGAATAATTGACTTTTTAAAGCAGCAAAGTGTATTTTTACAACTTGTACTAATATAATCAGGCTTCCTTTTATTTGTCTTAGAAAGCCTGAGAGATGAGTCAGTAAGTTTTCTCTGTCTTTTCGGTTGGAGTTTATGGCCTTACTGAACAACAAAATCTGTGATGAAACAAATACAGTCAATGTAAATACCGTAGTATTGCAAAAGAACAGCAAGTACTGCCATCTATGGGCAAATCGCTACGGCAACAGCGTTAATCACCATTAGTCACCCGTGCCATTACCACTCCATGAAATTTCACTGAGATTCACTCAAAAGTGTTACCAAGATAGGCTTGGCAGGGTGCAATGCTCTTGCTCCAGCCTGGCGAGTGTCTGCCTGGCCTGGTAGGTGCTGCATGTTGCTGACAATTATATAACTATATTGCTGCTGGACCTACAGATCCTAAAATAAGGGTAATGAAGAATCAGCCTCAGGAAAGAGTATCTAGAAATCAGACAGGATCTGTCTGAATCTGGCAAGAGCCTAATTTATGAATAAACTTGATTTTGACCTTAAAGCAGGGGTGTTTTTGGAATGAAGCACTATCATTTCTTAATTTTCTGAAAATTATGAGCAATGGGAAATCCTCCTCAAGTGTTATAAGAACTGGTTTTATGAAACACTGTGAGCAGTTGAATTTAATCTGGTTGAGCTATATTTAGTGTAAAATAATCCCTGTAAACTGTTTTTTTTTTTTTTTGTCAAGTATGTCACAAATTCATCTGCAGAATGAGGACTGGAGATAGTGTCACATATCTCAAAATAATGATCCTGATCATTGTCCATCAAGGAATATGATCCACATGACAGTTAACCGGAGTAGGCCCATGCCTGTGCTGTGCTGTGATGCACATACAGTTTAGCCTTCAGGCCTGTGTTGTGAGTTGTGCTGTGAATATCTCTTAGCTGCAGAATAAATGTGGCCAGCTAATTGTAATAGAGAGCCTGTACGCAGCTCACAATTGTTACTGGTCATTATGCCACCTGTAAGTTCTTGATTTTACCTAAAAGTGCAGCAAGAAGTTATCATGTGAATGTTCTTTTTGTTGGACAGAGTAGAAATGCTGAACGGAATTGTTTCCTTGTGAGAAAATCATGTAATAGTTCAAATTATCAAAATGGGGTAACTTCCATGGACCCAGTCTGCATGGTGTGCTGTGCCTGAATCAGATGCCTGTTAGATGCTGCACAACTTGGGAGTTCCTGGCATCTGAAGGGACGCAAGATTATCTATACTAACCTCTCTTCCTTTACAGTGTTAGCACTAATAAATAGCACTTTAAATGATACTTTGCATAGTCTGAGTGCCTTTCTCACTGGAATTATAATCACAGAATCATAGAATACCATGTTGGAAGGCACCTCAATGATCATCTGGTCCAAATTTTCTTGGCAAATGCACAGTCTAGACAAGATGGCCCAGCACCCCGTCCAGCTGAATCTTAAAAATGTCCGATGTTGGGGAATCCACCACTTCCCTAGGGAGGTTATTCCAGTGGTTTATTGTTCTCATTGTGAAAAATTTGTCTCTTGTGTCCAATTGGAATCTCCCCAGGAGTAACTTGTACCCATTACTCGGGAGCAGAACTGAGCCCAGGAAGAAGGGAGGGGTGGGGGGAAGGTGTTCTCAAGATGTGGCAATGCTTCTCACTGTCCTACTCTGTTAAGCGTTGTTAGTGTCTGTAAGAAATCTATGTTCTTTTTTTTCTTCCCCTAACGAGTCTGCCTTTTTCTCATGACCATAATGTGTGATCTACCCCTCCCGGTCCTATCTCAAACCCCAAGCCTGGCTCATCTGTCCCTTCTCATTACTGGAAGAGAAGGGGGAGAGAGTGGCTGCATGGTGTTTGGCTGCCAACAAGGCTCAAACCACTCCTGGATCATGTTTTCCCAGGTGCAAGGCCTTATACTTGTCCTTGTTGAACTTCGTAAGATTCTTGTTATCCCACTCTTCCAGATTATCCAGGTCTTCCTGCAGGGTGGCTCTCCCTTCTGAAGCGTCCACTTCCCCACTCAGTTTGGTATCATCAGCAAACTTCATCAGGGTACACTTGATCCTATCATCCAGATCACTTATGAAGATATTAAACAGCTTTGGGCCAAATATCGATCCCTAGGGGACACCATTTGTGACAGCTTGAAAGTTTGAAAAAGGAACAGCACCTCTAGGTACAAAACACTTGGTTACCAGTGAAGGGCAATGGTATTTCTCACAGTTCTAAATCACAAAGCTGGGCTCAACATGAAGAATGCCTACCTACTGCTTGCAAAGGTGACTGAATATTATTGTAATATTACAAAAAATAGATGCCAGATGAGATCTCTACACTGAAAAGAGAGCTCACCCTTGCTGTCTAAGCAGACTGAGGGTGCCAGTCCACTGTTAGATTGATCTTCTAAAGTGTCCATTAAAGTGTCTGATGGAAAGGCACAGCACTTACAAAGATATGTGTAACAGTAAAGTGTAATTTGCACATAATCCTGCACTAATGTAGCTCTGTAGGTTTAGAAATAAGCTTGCAAAACTAGAATAGCATTCTGTAGTGCCATACAGGTATAATTTTTTTTTGTCTTGGCCAATTATCTAATGCACACCAGGAATAACAGAACCTCATACTTCATTCATACTTCTCCAGGCCAAATAGCATGGAACAATTAATATCAAACCACAGAACCACAAAACCACAGAACAGTTGAGATTAGAAGGAACTTCTGGAAAGCGTCTAGTCTAAATTCCTCAACTCAGAGCAGTGTCATCTACAGCTCAGTACTGTGTTGAGATTTTAATATCTCCAAGGATGAAGACTCCATGATCTGTGTAGGCAAC